AACTCGTTTATCCTGCATGCATGCATGATACTCGCCTTGTGTTAACAGCCTAATACCTTTCATGAAACAAAACATAAGATCCGTAACAGGAGATAGTTATATTTTAATTGATTATCAGTCAATGCACGTTTTGATAACTAACCAGTCAAACAAATACAAAACAAAACTATGTCGAAAAATGTAGAAATGCGTCATATATTTTAGACTTTGATTGTCCCCGACATCATGATCTTCACACAACATAACACCACACGCAGCAAAAGAAATGCATTGATTGTTTTTACATACAATGGCTGTCATTAAAGATCATAATAGCTATCATTAAAAAAATTCTTTTATTACTTAGAGTGTAAAACTTGCTATTTTGTGAGTGGGCAGAGTTAATTTCTCATTCAAACTAATAGCTATCATGTGGTGAAAGCTAGACAGAATAGTGAATTATAATTATAATATCAAAAGGAAGTTGAAAAATATGTTGAAAATATTTTTCACGGATTTATGAGCTTGGTATACGTAACCTGAGTTTTTCTGCCACTTCAAATTCCCTTTAAAGATTTTATTTCATGTAAATTCACAGCAGCGTAGAAAGTAGCTAATTATTTATTGCTGTGTGAAATAAATTTGAAGAGTGGTTGCATGTACACGTTCATTGTTTTAAATCATCAGAGAATGAACACCTTCTAAGTATACAACGTCTGATATTTTCCCAGGTTACCTGACATCCATCTACGGTAGCTACATACACCGGCGCCAACAAACATTAACTTCTAATTAATCTAACTAAAATCTGCTTCCATTATCCAGATATATTATTACAAATTATGAGCAAAATTTCAGCAGTGATTGAAACTGCAGGCAAACTAACACGTCTTGCTGATAAAAGTCGAAATCGACGGTTTTTGACAAAAAACAGCTTTATCAGAAGAATAGTATGCGAAGATGTGCCCATGATCACTATATTTTACTTGGATGTTCAATGCACCTGCTGATAAGTTACAAACAGGCAAACAAATACAGAAAAACTATTTGAAGAATGTCAAAATGCGTGCTTCGTTTTCTTTCGTGCGCTAGTTTTTGAATGACCATCTAAATCCACTCTTTGATCGTATTATTTTTGTTAACTGGTCTTGTTTATCCGTCTTGATGCGAATTTAAGACACGTTTCCCGTCTAGACTAGTTTCTGCTCAAACTTTTAACGTGTATTAAGAAGTTAGCTGGGAGAGTTTCAATGAGAAAATCACATTCACATCAGACGAGCTTCCCGCCTAAACGAGTTTTCTGGCTCTAATGTGAAATCGGCTATTCATGCATTTAAGCATCTTATTTTACATCACCTCATACACCCTACATAAAGCAACTATTGCACATATTTTAAACCATGCAAGGCGTACATTTTACTTATAAACATGCAAACAGAAACTATACGTAGCTCTACTACATATTTATTATATATATTTGTTTATATAAACTAAATCATGTTTAAATATTGGTTATCCAGGCCTTATATTAGTTAAAATAAAAGTTTCTCCGGATTTTCACAAATAATCTTATTGAGCTTTCGACTCGTTGCTTCGAGCCTTCATCAGAATGAGGAAATTATCTATTTACACTTGCTTTTTGAGCGTCTAATTGGATTAGCGAGTGGATTAATGTGATTGGATGGGGGTGAAATGCGTTGCCATGGGTTTTGGTGTTTTGTGAATATGATCGGTGTTAATATTATTAGAGTGTAATGTTGTAGTTTTGGTGTTCTTTGTAGTTTTTTTGTCCTTTTTCTTTAGTTGTGAGTATATGATGGGTATTTCGATATGTCTGTTTATTGTGTCGTTGTCTTTACTGTACAAGGTTCTTTAAATTCGCGTGCGTGTTTAGTCTGTGCGCGTCCGAGTACTTTAGTTTCTGTCCAGTCGAATGTGGTTGTTTCCGTGGGTATGTTCCGCCGGTAGTGAGTTCGGATCTCGTCGTTTTATGGCGTTTTTGTGTTCTGTGAGTCTTGTTTCGATTTTCTTTGATGTTTATCTTATGTATTGTTTTGAGCAGTCTTTACACGCTAAAATTCATAATTACACTGTTAGAAATATGTTCCACTTGAAAATTTTGGAAGCAAAAAATAGTCTTTCAGGCATGTTCAAAATTCTCATGTCAGCAATTTCAATTTCCGCGTGTTTGGATTGGATGGCCTGATTCAAATACGGGTATCGATCAATCAAAGTGAGCGTTTTTTTGTTGTTTGACAATGAATTTTTGAAAATTAAGTACAAAATTTTTCAGTTGCTGAAAGTGTAACTGTTCTATAAATGTTGCTTATGGTAGGGTGTCCGCTTCTTAGCTATAACAAACAACGGAATCTTAGCTATAACAAACAACTTTTTTGAAACAGTAGCTAATATACAAAACATTGCAGGTGATCCTCAATTTAATTGGTTTTTAAATGCGCATGCTGATATGTTAAAATTAGCTTACAATAAATGCAAAATAAAACTATGTTAAGAATTTTAAAAGGCGTCTTTTATTCTTCGATATTATCGCCGAAATCATTCTTCAGTGATAAAAAAAGTGACACATGCTGCTACAGGAATAATTTCAGTTATTTTTATGCAGAATTGTCATTAAAGAATTCAAAAGAGTCATTTGTGAAAACCTCTCATTCATTAAAATCCTAATAGCCATCAAAGTGAGTGGGCTGATTTTTTTCTCGTGAATTCATATCTTGCAGGAAAGATACGGAAATCGAAAGCAATGTTATTATAATTGCACATGGAAATTGAGAAATCGACTACAAAATTAAGATTTTCGTCAATTTTGATATTTGGTAAAGTGCATCACTGCAACTTTTGTAATAATTGATCAATGCTCTATAATGTACACTGAGTTTTGCTGCAGAAGCTTAGAGCATATGCCATCAAGAATGCATACAAAGGTATGCGATTTCTCGCCACCGTATAAAACATATATATTTAATATTCCATACTGTTTTCTGTCAAGGCAAGAGATACATTTTGCTGAAAAGAAAACAGAAATGTATCGAGTGATTAGGAAAAGCAAGTCTGTTAACAATTCTTTTTTCCTTAAATGTGGAATATATAAGTAGTTTTGAGTCTAATGAAAACTTATTACATATAAAGGATTGTAAAGAAGTAAGTGATTCCCTATTTATCTCGCTATGTCATCTTGTTTGTGTAACATGCCAGTGTATCCACCTGCCTCAAAAATCGACTACAAGGGGCACTTTGAAAGTGAATTTTATACAGTATTGACTGATTCTTACAAAATCATGTAGAACGTGTGAGTATATTTGTTAAAAGTTTCGCAATGCTGTAGGTAACGTTGTTCTCAAACTCCTGCAGCCAATGCGCCCAACTCATACAGAATCATGGATCGTACACGATAGATGTCGCGAAGTCGAAAAAAGAATGTTTTCATTAAATAGTAATCTAAGAAGTTCAGCTGATATTTAATGTTCTAATGGCAATGCACATGCCGATAAGAAGCACTTGCCTTAAAGCCAGTTTAAGCAATGTCATGCAGTTAAAACAACGACGACCAAATGGAAATTCATATTTATTTCTTGCAAAAGAATGTCGAACAATTTAAAGTTAAAAAAGCTTAACACTTTGTCACTCGTTAGCAACACTATTCTGGGTAAGAGCAGTACTGCTGCACTTAACATGATTTATCGATGCTGCTTCATTTTTCCTTGTTTTTGTTCTTGTCCTCTGGAATGTTGGTTGTGCAAGATTATATTTTAAAACTATGTCATGCAGTGAATGGAACATCAACTGAATAACAAATTATGATTTGGGAAAGGAAATTCCAAAGTACTCGCTAATTGTTTATTGATTTCGGTAGAAACAAAAACCATGCAAATGAATTTGAAAACATCCTCTGATGTATTTCGAAACAAAGTGCGATAAATAAATACTATGCAGTCACAACATTTCATTTATTGCCTACCATCCAGACTGAGGTGAACACACATCAATTTTTTGTGAAATTACCATAGTCATTGGATATCTATAAAAGAAAGGTACTTGAAATAAAACTATTGATTTTCCTTGTCTTTGATGCTTCTTTTACGTGATATAGCGGTATGAAATTTGGTTGTTTCATGATATTTTATAGAAATAGCTATCTTTTGTTTGTAACATGTAGCAAGCGGAAAATGTTCCAGCCCTGTAACTTCAAAGAGTAAAAGGATAAATTTAAGTATGAAGTGCAACCCATAATTAAAGATATTTCAAACAGAATTTAAGCCATTTGATAAACAAAATATGGTAGATCCAATTTTCTTCGTCTGATGCTATTATACTTTACTTTCAATACTATTTTGCTACATCATTATATATAGAGTTATAAATGTAAATATTTAGCATAATGTTTCGAAAGGAGCTGTGCCGATATTATCATTGCAATCATAAAAGCTTAGACTATACTTGCTGGCTTTTGATATGATATAGATTTTCTTAGGAGGGTCTTAAATTTTCGGTGCGTGGGTAAATTCCTAAAAACTTTTGAAAAAATTTGTTTGTTAGAAAATTAGCTGTTTCCTCTGACATACCAGGTTCCTTTTCATTCCTGGACTGCGTGGCTTTTATAATTGGAACTGGTGTCATTTCGACATTCATACAGTTGAATGGCAGCGATGTCAAAGTCAATCAATCTACTTTAGTGTTTACTTTCTTATCAAAAATTTCTTTACTCATTTCTTTGCTGAGCTTTCATAAAATTCAAATGGACTCTCACTCTGTACACGCCCCTCCCCAAATAATCAACCAAAGAAAATTTTTGGAATCACATGCCAACAATTTACGTTCAATCTATACGTTACAAAAAGAGAAATTTAATGCGTTGTGCATAGTTCGTTCTTCTTTATGATATAACTGAGATATGATTGTTGCGTAGTAACTACTACTAGCGTACAGCTAAGTTTACTTTAAAGAAGTATTCAGGAGAATACGGCAAGTTTGAACGTTGTAGCTATGTCGTATCTATAATAGCTAAAGTGGATGACTAAAGAATTACAATCTTTTGCAGTGCATGGCAAGGGAAGCCCAATCTTCACTTCTATACTATGCGGAACTTTTACTTCATTGTGCGAAAAATAATTGCCATCTATTGTTTTTCCAGTGATTGAACATAAAAAATTCACACTGTAGCCTTTGCTTCGCTACTGATATTCTGTTAGCTTTATTTTTGATCAATATATTTTGTTGACTCATTCATATATACCTTTTATTGTACTATACAATTTCATCTCCATCTTAAAAATATTAATTTAAACATAGAATCCTGCACCTTTACTGGTTCTCCCTTCCTTGGTAAGTAATATCTTATTTGTCTCAGACTTCTTGTAATTCATAGCGCCTCAAAGTTCACACAGTGTAAAGACCCCTGTGACGGTGTTAGAAGAAAACATCAATAGACGACAGTGACCATCATGTTTGATGTTAGTTTTACAAATTTGAAACGTATGAAATGAGTTGTGTTATTTAATACTCCGCAGAAACTATGTAAATTGCGTATTTAGGTGTGAAAACGACATAGTAACATGAAAATCTGAACGCACACCTTCTGTAGCTTTAATAATTAAATATACAATTTCTTCCAAGCTTATGCGAGCCTATATCATTTACATAAAAATGCTTACAATAGTTGCATAGTAGCATTTGATAAAAGTGTTCAGTCTTAAATATGCAAATTTAAATGAGCGACTGTGAGTGTGCAGCCTGAAATATTTTATTTTGAAAATAACTTCGAACCTCATATAATTTACTTTTGATATTAGCTAACATTAACTTTGAGTTGTAGCTATATAACTTTCAATATCATTGAATGTGAAAGTTTGTTTCATCAATCTCGTAATATAGTTGCGAATTTAGGTACATCAAAATAAATGACTGCACCTTATTTTGGATTTTTTTATATTTCCGAATATTTTTGAGGAAACTTCATTGGTAAAATTTTATTCTTTAAAATCGATAACCAACAGTTTTGTTCTGAATGTATTTTGAGGAACGCTTGATCCGCTACAGTCGTGATACTTAACGTAGTATTTATCATCAAAGTGCAATTTAACCCGTGAATGGTTGAATGTTGACTTTGAATAAACGTTAAATTTTTTGTACACAGGAAGAGCTAGCTGCACGACACATTTTGCATCTTGTTGATGGTTACTAAAATTTCACTATGTCAATCAAAGTAAAGACTCGGCAATATTTTTTAACTACATAAACATTGTTGTCTCAGAAAATGACAGTGAACGTAACATAACGAAAGATTTTACGACAAAGAATCTCGCCAAACCATATCATAGGTGTAGGAAAATTAGTATTTTTGGGGGGGAAGGGGGAACGGAGGGCCATATTAGGCATGTTATAATTCATCGAAAACAGTAGATGTCAAAGGAATTTAATACTGCTTATCATAACTAAGAGCACTCTTTTTCTATGCCATTGCACTGCTTATCGTTAAAACACAATTTCAATGAAGTTCAATTTCTCGCTATAATTTAGCATGACGAGCAAGTGGATATTTGTTGTGATCTTTTGCGTCCTAACAATTTCCACGAACATCGCTGACAGCATATGCTGCAATAGAATTAAGGAATTGGTGCAAAAAAAGAAAAACGCCTTTGCAACTCTTTGTGCATGAGGAAACAATCTCCCTCGGGGTTGCTGTGACGATATTAAGAAGGAAGTAAAGTCGTTTGAGGATGCATACCAGTCGTTATGTGTTAATTCATGTAAGTTGACAACCACAATAAGAACATAATATGGGCTCATATTTACAGAAATAGATCAATTAATATAAAATGGATCTGAACACTAATGACTGCACAATAGTTCTGTATAAAAGCATGATATATGAACGTACAAAATGGAATGAAATTTTCAAATGCTAATTCCAATCTAAGCTACAGGGGCGTAAAGCTACCAGGTTTATTTAAAGAATGGAAGATGTGACACAATTAATTTGTTTATTAAAAGCTATGCGGTCAGCAAATATTAAACAGTAACATGAACACGCATTGTTTTGAGAAAAAAAATCATGAATGAATGGGCCACAGTCACGTGCTCTTTGACAATAAGTGCCAACAACTTAGATGATTTGTTTACAGTCCAAAAGTCAAGCTATGTTAATTTGAAACCATGCAATGTGCTATGCCATGGCAATGTAAATTGATGAAACAATATTTTAAGTTTTGTAAAAAAGAGCAGGTAATAAGAAGTTTTCTTAATTGCTTTCCAAAAACGCAAACTTGTATCAAATGACAGTTTCTTGATGTTTTATGTTTCTAAAACAGGTCATACTTAAAGCTAGCGGCTTAAAGCTAAGCTTACAAAAGGTTCATATATGATTTTATTGTCATTCCTAGCAAACATCCTGGGGAACTCGAGCATTCTAAAGAATAAGCCGCAATGGATAACTTAGCTTCAAAAATGGCTGCCATCGAACTTAAGAGGTCATAAGACGGTGCTCTGTTACAGAGCAACCGTGAATGGTTGGAGCTCAAACAAATTCCACAGTCTTTGTGACTCGAAGGGACCAACACTAGTCATTATCAAAAAAGGATCGTATGTGTTTGGGGGATTTGCATCGCAATCTTGGGGAGGTGGTAAGCTTGAGAAAATTAGACAACTGTATAATTGTAGCTGTGTTAAGCTAATAATATAAACAAAACACAGAAAACTATTTTTATCTTGTAAATGACGTAATGGCAAGTAGAAAGGAATTTTAGACTTAATAGCTTATGCATGTATCTATGAATACAAATTGCATGAAAACTTTTTTATTTCGGCCAACACATGCATGTATGCCAATATTAACTAAGAAAAACTACGAAATGTTTACAATAGAGAGGCATGAAAAAAGATTAATCATCAAAAATTATCGAGCTACGACTATTGAAAAATTACAAGTAATTAACATTATCTTTCACAAGTTAAACAATATCGGTTATGATTGGTCAACTACCTGCAAATAATTCTCGATATCTGTAAGTATGACGTCATGTCTACAAATAATAGTTTCTACAATAAAACAATTATTGAATTTGACCTTCGCATTATATCATGAATTATTCAAACCTTGGTCAATGTTATAGTTGTCAATGTCTTGCCACCTACAAAGTATTGAAAATTATCTGTAGGCGTCGTAATTGTTTATGTGAAAATTGTAAACTAAAAAGTATGATCTTGCTCGAGATTTGCAAACGTTTTACAAACTACTTTTGCTCATATTATTGAATATAAAGACGTAAAAACAATTGAAAGGATTGCACTGTCAGTCAGGAGAGTTTTTGATGAGTATTATCGGAAAAAAGACAAAAGCGAAATGCAAAAGTTTTGGCTTGATTGATTTTTCACTATATACGAAATCCAGCATTATTTTGTGATGCTTTTGCAATCGGCTTATTGTTGGAATCGTTAAACAAATCTTGACAAAATCACAAATAGCCATATAAAAAGTTGACTTTCAATAAGTCGTTGGATTTTTCTATGGAGAGAGAAATAAGCAATATGAGCTATCTCTGTATAAGGAGCATCCAACTAAATTGTTGTTATGAAATTCTCTTTAATTATAGGAAGTGGTCGTTACATAAGAGCACCAAATTCCTTTATTTTCTCGTTCAAAAACAAGGATGGTCTAAAACCTTTCAAATCCACGATCTATAGATATCAGCAATACGCAATGTACACAAATACATACTATGGACCAACATTTGGAGGTGGTCATGACATTTATATCGCCAACAATGCTGGGTCCTATTCCAATTCATACACAAACTTTGGTTACGTATACAAGCTCCCATCTGGCTATTCCTACGGAAGCACAAAAGCAAAGAACTTATTGGCTGGCTCGTACAAGTTTTCTCCAAACGAAGTAGAAGTTTTTTATTTTTCTGCACGTAAGTTAGCAACAAAAATTTTATTTAAATTATAAATATATAGTTTTATTGAGTTTAAATAAGATAAAATATGGTGGCTTGATACATACAAGAATCTTGCAATGCAGGAAATATATCACAAGGGCATGACTTTTGCAATATATGACCTAGCTATATAGGAAAATAAGGAACGTGTATAAAAATATAAAAAGGAATGCATTTCTCGAATCTGACTTCAAGCCTTACATTTTGCACTATCTAAACTACAGAAATATGGCTGTTAGAGGTGATGAAGGATGGTTTGTGTGCGTGTGTGTGTTTATAAGTGTTCGTGTAGGAGAGGTGTCAAACTGTTATGCTATTTCATAGATGTCGAGCTTTCACTCATCGTCAAACTGTACCATATGCATGAACTTAAAGATAATTTTCATAAATAACTGTGCAGTGGCTATTAGCTTTTATTAAAACTTCATATGTTTCTCTTCCTAGCCAGAAAGTAGGGTTACGTCATGTTTAGAGCATGCTTAGCAATATGCGCTTACAATTAGCGGCGTAACTATAGAGGAGCTCTGCGTGTCAGAGCTGTAGGCACCAACAGTGTTGCCACTCACTATTTTACAAATTCCCAAGATTTTGAGCAAAAAGTCCCAAGATCCTTTAAAATATCCCAAGATCCCCCACAATCGTTTCTGGGGGACCCCTTTGTCATGGGTACACGATTAGCCGCACTAATGAACGCATAATGTAAGGACTGGAATGAATTGATTTTTGTTTTAATTTTAATTTCATAAAAATCGATAGTTTATGTATATAAGTGTTGAAATGATTAAATATAGTTCGTGAAACGCAACAGTACATAAAAAGTCAAACATGGTGATGGTAAAATCGTTGAAACAGCCAAATCGACAACATGCTAAGTGCTAACCAGACCCTATCTCAACAGTCTCTTCGTTTACAATGTCATAAACATCAGTCACATTTTCTTCCTGTTCCTGACGCTGACAATGTTTCTTAAAGTACTCCCTCCGACAATGACCAAATTGTACGTCTTTTACAAGTTTCGTAGACGGCTCCCACGTGTAGCAATGCGCACCTTGTCGAGCAATAGCTTGTCTTATAATTAATCTGTTCCTCAAAGTTGAACAATGTAGGCGGTTGGTTTTAGGAGTCTTTATCATGTTAACTTGGGAAAAAATTCTCTCGACACAGGCAGATGAGTGAGGCAAAACAAGCAGGTTGCACATAAAATTTCCCAAAAGTTCAAACTTTTTATTGCCGTTACCATCTTTAATAGCTCTGATCTCATCCCAAAACTGTGTTGGGGAATTAGTCATGCCTTTAAGAGAGTCTGTGGCATATAACAACTGCCTCCACTGATTATCAAGTTCATCCAATTGATCTTCAGACACTAAAGACGGAAAATGGTGTGCTAATACCGCTATCGAGTTTAATGACCGCCTGCTGGATAATGCCTCTGAAGGGTTGACTGCTGATAGCAAAGCTAGAACTCCATCACTTTTGAAAGAAAACCTCTTCTTTATTTGGTCACATAACTCAACGAGAAAGTTACGGCAATCGTTTCTGAAACGTTGTTCTTGGCTACCCAAAGACTGTTGGGTGCACAGGACTGTACATCTTCCTCCAAGATGAATATCGTTGAGAGGCTTGTATAGCTTTACGTCATTTGGATCAATCTCGTCCAACGGTGTTTCTCGTACGACTTTGTCGTGGATAAACATGGCCAAAATGCTTCTATACTCATCCGATATAGAACTGTACAGTGTGTGCAGCTTGAAATCTGGAGCCTGAAATTCAGCATTTAATCTGTCCACTTTTGACAATATGGAATTTAGGAATGCCATAATATGCTTGGTTCCATTCGTCGTCATGGTTTCATAGATCTTGACTGCCCCGTCTACACGATCACATGGAGACTCAGATTGAAAGAAAAGTTTTAATGCATCCCATTGCTCTAAAATTCTGGCAACAACTTGGCCTCGGGAGAGCCATCTCGTCTGTGAAAGCTTGAGAACTTTATGACGAGGCGCTTCAACAATATCTTGTATGAGACGGAACTGGTGTTGTCGCCGACTGCTAGGAAAAATAACAGCAGACATCTTTCACAAATGCTTCCAACCATGAAGGTAGGCGACAACTTGCATAGTGTGCGCAGAGAGCAAAGGAGTGACAAATGCGACCAAAGACAAATACACCAGGTACATCTTTTTTTAAAAGACGTGTCACACTTATTTATAAATTCATAATACGAGATAATATTACCTATAAAATATTTAAACAAAATATCCCAAGATTTTACAATATTTCGAAAAAAACTCCCAAGATCCCAAGCTTGAGCAGAAAATCCCAAGATCTTGGGAGAAATCCCAAGGCGTGGCAACACTGAGCGTGACTACTAAGACCAGAATGCACAGCGCGCATTTTCATTAAATATGAATAAGGCATATGGTCTATTGATAATTTCGTGGCAACATCTACATTCTTTTAGATTAACCAAGAGAGGAACACGGCACTTACCACAATTGCACCTAAGAAAGTTCTCTGTCAAAAGCTTCGGCAACAATAAATAAACAAATTTTCCAACTTTTCTTACCAAGAATCAAGAGGAACTTCATTTTGCATTCTGCGTTCGAGCTCTTCTGTTTGGCGTCTTTGTTCTTCTGTCTCTCTATTATAGTTTCTAACCACTCATCATCAGCAAGTGGTTCGTTTTCATACGCTGCAGCTTGGCCGTACTCAAAATCGCCATCGGTGTTTCGGAGCGCATTTAATGACGATTGATCTTCGTCTTCGAAATCGAATTCCCGACTGTTCAATTCAATATTTTCCGCTGTTGTTGCTGTATTCGACTCAGAATCGGATGTCGACATGTTTCGTACAATTTTTATATTAATTTCAAAGCAATATATAAAGAATTGTTATTTCACACTGTGTTGTTTTGTATGCAGCGCATTCATACGTTCCTTAAATGACGTCACAAACCTCTCGTCTTTAGTCCCCTCAGAGGCGCGGAAATTTTTCTAAAGCAAGTTAATTCAAACCGCCAAAAAAACTTTGTTTTTATTTTTTTTACGAAATTTTCTTCGAAATCATATTTTCTACAGTCTAAACTTTAAAAGTTCAACGAATTTGGGAAGGCTGTATGTGCACTTTATGTTACGTCACAGAGACTTGATCCAGGCCCTATGCCAATTATCAACTTTTACTGTCAAATTTCATATTTGATCAATAATAATTCGAAAACAACGCAGCGCATGAAAAAATTGTAATATAAGTTTCAGATTACTTTTGAAGAAGCAATACGAAAGTGCTATAAAAAAAATTGTGAGATATGCACTTTAAGTGCGACATAAAAATCACACACTATCTAATCTTTCGCAGTCATTTCTCCATTTATGGCAAGATTTGCTCCTAGGTATTTCAAATCAAGTAATAAGTTGAGTGAAATTGCTGTCTTCAAATAGTTATGAAGTGATTTTATAGCCCTACTTATTGAGTGTCAGTGTGAGTGGAGTTTTAGAATGCGGACGTTAATGTATGTGCCTTGTGCAAAATTTTAAATCAAATGACCAAATAACTGTCTAACCCTTTCTAATTTGCCAAATGCCCTTCCAGCCTTCCTTACATTTAATGTCACATAATTGTGGTCACATCTATTGTTCATCATTATACACAGAATAATAAAAATACATATATAAGAGCCACTTAATTGAAATCTTTTGGATCGCATATATCTATTAAGCATGTGATTTTCATAATGGCAACCAGTCAATTGCCGTTCATCACTAATAAACATCATACAGTGTTGCAGAATATTGTGCTCCAGTTTGGTCTCGCTCTAAACACATGAATAAGTTAGATGCATTGCTAAATGACACAATGCGAATAATTTCTGGAACATTAAAATCAACTCCAACCCCTTGGCTACCTGTAATGAGTGCTATAGCTCCACCTAACATACGCAGACAGGAAGCAGCACAGAAACAACATCATCGCATTGAAAATACACAAATTGACACTGCACTAAAAACTATTATCCAGTCTGCCCCAACTACTTCGAGACAAAAATCACGAAAACCTTTTCATAACTCCAAGATTGAATCGTTTGATTTCAACAATACATGGAAGGAACAATGGTCCGAAAATAAACCAAGGGTGCTGATCTAATTAAAGATCCCACAAATCTCCCTCTCCTGGTTTCAGGAAACTAACTCGTAAACAATGGAGCACTTGTAACCGAATTAGATCGAAACAGGGCAGAACAGCAAACAACCTATACCGATGGGGCTACAAAGACTCAACAACTTGCCCATCATGTAACGTCACCAACCAGAATATGGATTATATCATCCTGCAATGTCCGTTCACACGCATTGAAGGCGGCTACGCAACAGTGCATAAAGCAGATGATGACTTCGCAAGCTGGCTTGATGAGACACACATGGAGGTGTGACTACCATACGAAACTACTACTACTAATAAACATGAAATGACATATTGCAGCAAAGAAGTCTAATTAAATATATACAATAATGTACAGTGAAGCGATCCTTGATTTTGCATTTTCATTATTGTTTGGTTTCAGGGTTGTAATGGCTATTTATTATCAGCTACAAGTTTGGCTTTGATTTTTATAATAAGTTTCAGTTCACAATATTCAAATGTAATCTTCGTAGTGTTAAGTGACAAAAGCAACTATGAGTAGTGAGAACAATGCAAAGAAAGACGTAAAATGTGTAAAAGGGTTAAATGACAAAGACTTTTTTCAGCCAAAAAATGTTTCAAGACTAACGTTTATTTTACATACAAGCAGCTGGCGGAATCCCATTTAAATGTATGCGTATGCATGATATATTTAGAAAAATCAGGTGATTAATTCAAATTCAAACATTGTAGTTGTTTATGCATCCTATAGCTGTGTATTGATATCATAAACCTTATGCAAAGTAATTCTTATTACTAACCTTCTTTTCATCGCAGCCGTGTGTTCTTCTATCAATAGCATGAACTCCATAATGAATGAATAGTACGGTGACATCTCAAATACCCTTAAAAAAAATACCATTTTTCTCCTCAACCTTAGCCGATTAATTTGTGTATGCAAAAGTGCTAGATAAAACGAAAGCTGATAGAAGAAAGCAGATAGACGAAATCCAATTGTTAGCTGCAGATGCGTTAAGATGTTATCCTGCTCTTCAAAAAATTGACTAAAACAAACTATCATTCCAGGTAGATGTCCTTACTAGCACTATGATGCAACTGAAGATCTCAAAACCTAAACTTATATAGCAGTTTACACACAATGACCTAAAGTCATCATCATCTATAGAGGAATCTTACAAGACAACAGCATGTCGAAAAGAAAAGTTTTGTTGCAATTAATAAGTGCAAAATAAGTATTTCAATTCTCATTTAAGGAATTACAATATTGGTTTCTTTGCATAGTTATTGAATGATTACAATTATTATCTATGAGATTATTTGCTACGTGCGACAGCTAATTCGGTTAATTTAACAAAAAAAGGAGAAACCATGCTTTTTTTATGACACATTTTATTCGTGAATGGTCCGATTATTATGAGGAGAAATAGAACACTTCAATTTCGTTTGGACGAAATTGGTAGAAGCCTCAACAATTTCTTTGCTTTGTTGCTCGCGTACGAATAGCCTGATGGGAGCTTGTACGTATGACCAAAGTTTGTGTACGAGCTTGTGCTGGTTCTGGCATTGTTGCCGATTTTCAAATCATGACCACCTCCAAACGTGGGTCCATAGCTGCTGCTTGTGTACATTGCATATTGTTGATATCTATATATTGAGGATTTGAAAGGGGCCAGACCAGCCGGGTTTTTAAGAGAAAAAATAAAAGAATCTGATGCTCTTATGTAACGGCTACTTCCTACAAATAAACAACATAAAACAATTACATTTCAATTAGAAATTCTTATTGCTTTCTTTAGTGATTATTTGTTAGTAATTTCCATTCCTTTTTGGTGAGTCAAAAAGATATTATATATTTATGCATGACAAATTTCTGAGTTCTGATTGGTTAAAAGCAATGAAAATTTCAGAGAAACACCAGTGCAAAAAGCGAAACACCAGTGCTGATTTCTCTTCTAATGATATACATGAAAAATTTCTCAATTCTGATTGGTTTAGAGGAGGGAATTTATCGTAAATACCAGTGCAAAATAGGAAACACAGTGCAAAAAAAAGAAATACAGTGCAATTTTTTTTTGAAAAATGCGCTCCTGACTGGTTAGTCAAACAAAAAATGATCTAAGAGCCAATCAAAATAAAACATTTCAAAAGCGGGAAAGTTAAATTATTGTAAACAAAGCAATTACAACGACTGGCTAAGTTTTTTTTAGCAAAGTGGATTTTCTTTAGGGAAGGAGTATACAGTTTACCGTTTGCAAAGTGTTTCTGGATGAAAATAACAATACTGCTAAAAGTAGATACCTTGTTCTAGCTGCGTGTGCAGAAGTTATGGTGCCGTAAAAATAATATCCGACGGAATTGAAAAATACCAACCGGTTGATCAATGATTAAACTCGCCGGCTGCAATGTACGTACGCTGAAGTCAAAAATCAACGGAATTGAGAAATTTTTTCATGTATATGATTAATAAGGAATTGCATGGTTTCTCGTGCAATTTGAAAAACAGGCACTCGTGAGTTTTTCAAAGACTTCAAATTGAATTGTCCTTAGGACTTTTGATAGTCTTTGAAAACTTACTCGTGCATTTTTTCCCAAGTTGCACTCGAAACCATGCTATTACTTATAGAAAGTGCACCTGATTAGTTAGTCAAACAAAAAGGTAATCAAAATAGAGCCAATCGAAATAAATCATTTCAATGGCGGGAAATTTAAGTTATTGTAAACAAAAGCAAATGGATACAATGGCTAGCGTAAATTTTAAGTAGATTTCTTTAGAAACCGAGTCTACAGTTCTGTATTTGGAAGACATTTCCGAAAATGCGAACACTTCTGGTTATAGCTACCTTGTTTTGGCTTTGTGTTTGGAAGCAATGGTGTAAAAATTATTTGAACGAATTAAAAATTACGAGCCGGTCGATAGTTATAACTTGCCAGTTGAACCGTGCGACGCTCAAGTCAAAAATTAACAGAATTGAGAAACTCTTTTATTTAGCTATATTATTAAATTATTTTTATGCAATTTGTAAATAATGGACTCGTGAGTTTTTAAAACTTCAATTTGCATCTCGTATGCAAACTACTTATAACTATAAAATATGGTTTGGTGCTGGTCAAAGTTGCAAAAAAACTGCGGGTAGACTGGTACTATCGGCGAATAAAATTTTCGAGGATGATTCAAAGTTGAATACTGGAAGTTAAGCACATGCATGCATGTACCCGTAACACCCGGTTCGCATAGCTGATGTGAGTAATATGATGTTGTTTTGACGAAGATTTTCAAAACATGATATCCCACCCTGACGAAGATTTAACTTTTTTATAACTCTGGTGTTGCTAAATGACAAAAGAAATATTGGGCTATATAACTTTAAAACAAGATGAAAGAAATGTAGAATGCATGTCCATAAGATAACTCCCATTGATTTTTTTATAACTAATACAGTTCATGCACTTATTTTAAAACATAGGTATATCATCCCCCCAATTATCGTTCTGACTACGTGCCTGCCGGCGTGTAAAAGATTTCAATAGATTTGTTTTTATAAATACATGCTTAAGTTTCCAAACAATTTATAATTAGAGCGGGCTTACCTCCCCAAGACTTTGATGCAAATCCTCCAAAAATACAACCTCCATATTTAACAATGACCAGTGTTGGTCCCTTTGAGTCACAACAACTGTGGAATGTACTTGCTCTCCATCCATTCGATGTTGCTTTGTAACAGCGCTTCGTCTTTTTGCCATATAAATTCGAAGGTAACCATTTTTGAAGCTTTCCTATCCATTCTTGTTTATTTTTCAGAATAACTGAGTTCTGCAGGATCACTATAGGGGTGACAATGAAATTTTATGTTAAATTTTGAACGTTTCGCCCTTGTTTTGACGGATCTCTTTTTCATATAGACATTAAGGTGGTTTGTGAAATTCCTCGTTTGAAACACGTCGCTAACACATACAAAAAGTTACGTATAACACCTCCAGTTAGACAACAAAGTTCCTCTAAAATCTGCGAGGAAGCCGTAGAATATTTTACCTAATATAAATTCCTAATATAGTGTATCACAAATTTTTTCTACGTTAGCTAAATGTGTTTACAATATCGTTTAAAAGGTGTTTACAATTTCTTCAAAATACATCACATTACTGGTGACAAAGATAGTTCACTTATATTCCAGAAAAGCATTTTTAACCTTCATAAATCAGTTTTAGCCATATTTTTACTCTAAAATGCACTCGCTTTACCACACAAAAACATGGTTTGAAGCTTGCTTCTGGCAGTTATCTGTTGCACCGAAAACTTCCAAGTTGTACTTTTTTTTATTAGTTATTTATTCTGTGCACCTGTCCTTTATATTCGGCAAAAAATTAGACTACGAAAGACAGATTTGAAAATTATATCCCATTTTATTTCTTCATGTATGCATTTATCATTTCTTATAGTTTTGTAAAGATGGCTTTTGCATGATGTTCCAATTTTACGATATATTTCCATGGTTTAAGTTTGGTGTAGGTATATATACCAAGACGCACGCGATTGTAGTTAACTAATAAACATTATTATCATTATTATGATGCCATATTTTCTTTAAAATTTGGTGTTATAACTTACATGGCGAAAAATAAAATGCTTCCACTTCGTTTGGAATAAATTTGTACGAGCCAGCCAATAAGTTCTTTGCTTTTGTGCTCCCGTAAGAATAGCCAGATGGGAGCTTGTATGTATAACCAAAGTTTGTGTAAAAATTGGAATAGGACACAGCATTGTTGGCGATATAAATGTCGTGACCACCACCAAATGTTGGTCCATAGCTGCTGTATGTGTACATTGAATATTGTTTGTATCTTGTAACATTGGATTTAAAGGGTGCAAGATTATCTATGTTTTTAAAGGAGAAAATGAAAGCTTCTGGTGCTTGTATGTAACCAGAACGTCCTCCTGTAATTTAACAGTAATACACAAAACACTTGAGTTAAAAGTTTCATATATGAAGATGATGTTGATATTTTCTATTTCACTAATCAAACTTTATGCTTCTTGACTGAAACAATGACCCGCTATACAAAACTTGCCATGAATTACTTTTGAAATTCAAGATAATTTGTTTACAATTTTGCTAAGATTTCACTTCTTTATGAAAAATTCGATGAGGATTAATTCTTAGATATAAAGTCAACGTAAAATCTTAGACGTGCAGATATAAGACAACTCCACTTAGCCTTATTCAATCAGTTTGTCATATTTTTATTGTTATCATATTGAAATAAGCACTAAGATTGGCTTAACTATTGTTTGCTTACATATATATTTGTAATATTCCGACATGAGGAAGTTCCAAGCCTGTATATATCTATAGATTCCCAATAAAAGGTACCGAACATGCAAATGATATCTGTGTTATCCCTTACAAAATTTGCATTATATTATAAAAACTATTTTCTTCTGCGTGCCACATCATTTTTATCTTAGAATGACCACTGAATTCAAAAGGTATTCACATGCAATTAATGTCATATAAGTCACTCGACCTTACCTCCCCAAGATTCTGATGCAAATGTCCCAAACACATACGATCCCTTTTTAATAATAACCAATGTTGGTCCTTTTGAGTCACAGCGACTGTGAAATGTCCTCCCTCCCCATCCATTTTTCGTTGCTTGGTAACAGCGCACCGTCTTTTTGTCATTGAAGTACGAAGGCAGCCATTGTTGAAGCTTTCCTATCCATCTCTTTTTGTCCTTTAGAATGCTTGAGTCCTGTAGGATTGCTAGACGTGAAAATAAAATCTTATATGAAACGTTTGAATTGTATGCTTTACTAAGCAAACTCTTTATGTAATATAAGGCACAATAAAAAGGTCGTTTAATTCTACAAGAGCATTTAACACAGATTTTTAGTAATATATTTTTATCACCTTATGTTATTAAGACATGGTCTGACAGTGACGTCGCTTGCGCTTTTAAAGGAGAGAAAGAATTTTGGTTTTGCCAAGAGAAATGTGAATTTAGCCTATTTATTTACCCCTGAATCTTTTCTTTATGCAATACATGCATATATGTTGCAGTTTGGCATTTACTGATAAAACAGCATTTACCAAACAACGCAGTGTAACCACATCCCTCATCTAACTTATTACACACCTCATAGCTACCTCACTGTTTTTTAGAGTAAGCTAAAAACATTAGATTTAGATAAGTCAGATTTGAAACGTATATTCCATTTCATAAAGTAATACAATAGGACCACAATAACATGAGCTCTTCGCGAGCTCAATGTAAATTTATGCAGTGCGCTGCTGGATTTGATTTTATTTAATTTATATCATTTGACTCGTTTTAACTCGAACATGCATACTAGTAATAATATACATGGGGGTACGAGAACACAAAGTGTTCTCTTATCCCCCATGTATATTACTACTTTTAACCTTGGGTAAAAACTATCTTTATAACAGCGCAAAATAAGACCATGTTTCAAAAGGCGTCCCTCAGCAAAAGGTCATGTAAAAAAAGCTGCGTAAAAAAAAGTCATTGTTTCAAAGGGGGGTAAAAATTTCGAGGCTATAATCTATAGTTTAAAAATATGGAATCTATATGTTTTTGAAATATATAGGTGCGTTTAAATTTTATAAACAGTCTTTAATAATCAAGTGTTAATAATCAAGTGTTAATAATCAAGTGTTAATAATCAAGTGTTAATAATCAAGTGTTAATAATCAAGTGTTAATAATCAAGTGTTAATAATCAAGTGTTAATAATCAAGTGTTAATAATCAAGTGTTAATAAAGCATCTTTTTAAATCGTTGTTAGGGGCGAAGAATTTCAGGCAACTAAGCCTGAAATTTTGAGCGAACAATGTCATAGATGCTCTTTAAAAAACTATGGAAACAATATATCTGTCAAGCGTGTGTCACATGTACATGTTTAACAATGTTTTATATAATTTTTGTTAAAAGTGTTTTTACTAATTGTTTCAGGATTTTGAATCTTTTTGTATATCGCTTTTGTATTAATTACTTATTACAAACAGTTATGTGATATGTAGTCAAACATGAGGAGCAGGCATGTATGATTTTACTCTAACAGAGGCCTACGCTACATACTTACTACACATTATAACTGTTTGTTAATATTTAGTTATTTGAACCGATATTATAATGGCCATAAGCTAATGTTGTTACACCATCATCTAATATATATCGTTTATCGTCAAAACAGCTGAGTGATACTTTATTAATTTCATAACTACAAAGTTGATGGTTTACACTTCTAATAGTTTTCATTGTATGATGCATTTGTTTGTTTTCAAATAGTGTTGTTTTATAGTCTTCATGTTTTATTTCACTCTTAATAATATTTTTTTTAATTCCTTTAGCTTTTTTATCTCCTTTATTATTATCTTTAATATAACTATACATCTTGCTTCTTAAACCAACAAATTCTTTAACTACTATTCCAGCAGCTTCATCTTTCATTTTACCAATAACTTTTTTATTAGTTTTATCATGATATTTATGGTATTCTGGGTAATCACTGAAATCAAATTTATCTTTATCATTCCAAAAAATCTTGATAGACATCTTCAGTTTCAATTTCATATGTTAAACTATCTGTGTCTGTGAAAAGAAGTTTAGCTTTATCACCATATTTCTTCTTGATATAATTGTAATGAAAATCATACATCAACGTTTTACTTAAATCTAAGATACACATGCCAACATATGCAGGCCTGTTAAGGGTTAGTGTTTCTTTGATCTTATGCACAGCCACAAGGTTCTCATTGAAGATTTTACTACTTACATAAGTAGGTTTTGAAGCTAATTTTAATAATTTATTTTTATTAGTTACTAGTCTAACATCTACTTTTTCGTAAGTTTTCCATGGTTTTACCTACCGAATTATTCATTAATTTGAAGAAGTCTTTTCAAAAGAATTTTTGCATTAGTTCTTTTTGAGTATTAAAGTCTATGTATTTTTTCAACCATGGAGATTGATTAAATTCAAGTACTCTATGTACTTTTTTAACTTTAACCCAAGATCTAAGTATAATTGAAGATTTCTATAATGTAAAACATACTTGTATTTATTTTGTAATGTAGGATTAATTTTGAAACTAAACCTGTTGATATATTGTAATTAGAAGCAATTGTCTTACAATATATTGACAGCATGTCGCTAGTTACCTTAACTTTTTCTGGTGCGACAGGATAATCGTTATGTAAATTATGTAGTTCTTCAGGGTATTCTAAATTAACTTCTAAAATTAAACCTTTTTTACTATCTACTTGATATTTAGCAAGGTTTATGTTGTTAATCTGTTTCTCAGTTAACCATTTGAAACCACCAGTAGGTAGGTATTGTGACATAGCCCATCCATATAAATTGTTTGCGTCAAGATACATTATATATTTTGAGGGTTTATTCTTATCAAATACTTTCATATACTTGTTATTTGCTTTACCATATCGATTAGAAATATAAGAAACACCTCCTCTCATACCCTTTTCAATGAATTGAAACATGTCAATATCAGTCATTAATTCTAATTTAATATCTGTCATCTTTAACATAGCATCCCAAGACAACCCAGGAGATGTGAAATAGTGGCATGGGTCTAAGTTATAGTATTCTAAGCATGTTTTTCGAAAGTTTTCAAATACATCAGCTAATAACAAAACGTCTGATTTCAGATACAGGTCGTGATACTCACCCATGTTTTTTAGATTGAATGTATTCAACACTTTTCGTGCATGATGGTATTGTTCATCTGATATATTCTCATCAGTAAGAATACTATAAAAGTCTTTTTTTGAAGGTAACCCCCCATCAAACTTTTCAAAGCTATCCATATAATCATATGGGTAAATACCTTTTTGTGTCATTAAATTAAATTTTTCACCTTGAAACTGTTTAGAGGTGTATTTAAATGATTCTTTAGGTAAATTATTAACAAGCTTTTCAAGACTAGAGCTCATAAATTGAAAACTATCAAGAAATGTTAAATGGTTACCTAACATGAAAGCCATATACTTTTCCATGTTATTTGGTATAGCAATTATATTCATCTGTGTTTCTTCACCTTTTTTGTTTTTGTATGTATGCTTATTAACAATAGCTCCGATTTCTTGCATAATAAAATGGCTGTCATATCCACGCAGATTGTGAAATATTACTGGGATCTTTAATTTATCAGAGTCTATTCTAAGTTTTAAATTACAATCTTGATGTGCTGAGCCTCTATATTTTCCAGTGATATGACAATGGTCTCGAACTCGAATATCTTTGTTAGTATATTTTTTGTTACAGATATGACATTCATCAGCTTTTTTAAATTCTTCTTCATCATCAGAGGTCATTTTTAATGGTTTATTAAAGTAGGTTTTCATAATATTTTTACAATATTTAACTTCTTTTAACATAGCTTCCATAAATTTGTAAACAGCCTTTTCCCCTCTATATAGTTGAATTGGTTTCGTGAATTTATCATCATAACAACAAACAACTTTATATCCATAACCACAGTCAGTATGTTTTGATAGGCTTCTGTATATGATTTTTATTATCTTGTTACAACCAGATATCTTTTCTGTAATAGCCTCAAAGTCAGCATATATAACAAATGGTACAGGTTGTTGCTTATGATAGTTGTTGAATTTCAGTATGTTATTATTTTTATCAGGCATTTTATTGATTGTATACCATTTATTAATATACAGTTTTCTATATGGTTATTTAATATTTTTCAGAACTAAAACATTGAAGGCAGCGCATACAAAAGTGTTTTCTTTCTTTATGCTTTGTTTGATTGTACATAAATTTATTAAAATCTTTTATTAATATAATGTTTGTTTTCATTATCAGTTATCAATAGTAGTTCCATATGGTCTTCAAATTTTTCTTTTGAAATGAATAATGGATATGGTTGTTTATCTTCATAACCGAAAACGTTAATGTTAATTCTGTTTTGCTTTTCGATTTTATTATAATGTTTAACAGTCACTGGAAATTCAATCCCAGAGTAGTCTAATTTGTTAATATATTCCTTATCAGATTTTTAATTCTCTGTGGGTATTATTTTGTGGGTTAATATGTCTAATATGACACCATCTAAAACATTCATTATCTCTATTTTGATATTAATTAATCCTTTTTACTATTTTTAAGTTCTTGTGGTAAATTAATGTATGAAGATCCTTGTAATGGTTTGTATTTAACAACATTAAGATAATGATTATCTATAGAGCGAATAACCCATCCAGAACCTTCTTGTGTAAATTTATCAATCTTATTTAATATATTTTGTTCTGAAATTTGTAGTGATTCAGTAATATTTTCATTATTTGTAATTGTTAAAGCTGGACTGTTGAAATAAGCAACTTTTGTTAAAACACATTACCACCATATTTTATTTCTTTTTTCAAATGTTACCTTAAGCGTTTCGACAAATTTTAATCCTTTAATTGTTGTTAATAATTCTTTAATATAATATGTAAGATACTTTCTAGTGTTCTGTAATTGTTTTAATGGATCTTTTTTGTTAATAATGCTTATTTCATATGACTTTGTATAACCTTTAAGAGCATTGTTTGTTTCTCTTATTTTAACTCTTTGTGTTGGTATTGGTTTTTTATTTTTATCTGATAGCATCTGTGTATTGTTCTCATACTCTTTAACCATCTCTTTTACACTCTTTCTTGGTTTTGGGACTGGTGTTAATACTTTGATTAATTCGTTTTTTCTAAGTTTATAATAACCTTTAACCTTTTTTTCTTTAGCAATAACTTTTAACTGAGATACAGTCATTTGTTTGATATTGGATTGTGATAGTACTTTTTGTACTGGTTTGGAAATTGAAGTATTATTAACTTCAACCTTAGGTTTTTGATTTAAAATTATATTAATTAAATCGTCTTTAGTCAACTTTTGAAGTTTATCTTTATTCATATTAGGCATACTATATAAAATACTCATGTCTTTAAGTACCTTATGTTTTGTTTTATCTTTATTCATATTAGGCATATTATATAATATAGGTTTGTCTTTAAGTACCTTTCGATTTAAATAATCTCTATTCATATATATATATATATATTTTATTTTATTTTTTAAACGCACTAATTTTAATTATAGAAATAAATCTATATTTAAAACTTTTATAAAATAATTAAATTAATCTATTTAACTTTTGAGTGTTTTAAATATTTTGTAAATATTCTCTTAATTTAGCTTCAGTTTTTATTGTATTAGGTAACATACTGGTCTTAGACCGACCTCCCATGGATTGAAACCCTTCTCGTGTACCCAGATTACTTTGTTTAATTTTTCTCTAATTGGGTCATTAGAGCTTCTTTTGTTGTTGTATTATAATAATAGTGAAGTTCTTGTTTATGATCATTAGTTTTAAATATTAATAACCTTAAATGTTTATGATGTTCAACTAATTTTAATTCGTTTATTTGCTTTTGTAATTAGTGTATGTATAAATGTTGGGAGATCTTTACATTTTCATAACCTGTTGATCAGGATTATAATGTAATAATTTTGTTGGTAAAGAATCTATGTATATAAAAACTAAATTTAGAATATAAATCTTTATCAACCATTTGAAAATCCCAGCCAGCCGAAATACACTAGACTAAGAATTTCATTATTATTTTTATATTTTCTATCATATATATTATGTATATATATTTCTTTAAGTATATTTAAACGCACCATAAAATTTTATAAAACTATATTATTTTTAATTTTTGAATTTCTTAAATGTTTTCTAGTTCTAAGATGTAAAGTTTTATATGCTAAACTATATGTTTTATTACATGAATCACAATGCCATGGTTTTGACAACATATATGAAGTTCTATGTTGTTTAATTTGTTCTTTAGTATAAATTCTTGGTCTTCCTCGTATTGGTTTATCTGAACACATATATACTAATACTATATATTTTATTTAATTTAAGATATTTTAATAATACCAGAAGCTGTGATATTATATAAATATATTCATATAAACAAATTTTATAACATAACTATTCTCTGTATTAGTAATTTATATTTAAAATAACATTTATCCCATAATAATATTTATTTAATAAATTATGAGTGATTTCAACAAATGTTGGATATAATTATAACCACTACTATTATTAAACTTGGTTTAAAACTATCACATAAATGGGTTCTGTTTCTATATGTATAGAACAGAATATATGTAAATTTTTATAATATTTTCTATATTATATTTATCTTTAGAAAAGATAACCAGTCACAAGTATTTAATTCATATATTTTTTCTCTTGTAATATTATAATTATTATCATCTTTATATTCAAGTTCATATTTTAATGATTTAATATACATGTTTTTATCTTTCATAATTTCATCTAATAAATCTAAATTAATTTCATGTCCTTTAAATTTATATACATCTTTGTTTTTATAACTTTCACCATTCTATATAATTACTATATATATTATTTTTTTTTTAAGGTGCGTTTAAATTATCTTTTGTTTTATACAATGTTTTTTCAAAATCCTTCAAAACACCTTCTATATTAGAACTAGTTTTTTTACAACATAAAATAAAATCTCTAATCCTTTTTAATATAGCTTTAAGATTCATATATAATCGTAAATGTTTTATTTCTTTGACTGGACCCAGTTGTTATAATAAGTACAGTTGATACCTTTATCCCACTCAAGGATTTTATATACTTCACCAAATAATCTATCATCAAAAACTCTTTTTGTCTTACTATTTTTCATATCTCTAACAGGGTGTTTTAATGGTATACCCTTACGGCTGGCTAAGCGTATTATATAATAGTTATACATACTAACATTTTTTTTATTAATTAATTTATGTTTAATCATAGTACTAACAACCTTTATAAAATCATTTGTTAATTTCTCAACATATTCAAAAGTTACACACAATCTAATTTTATTATAAAACCATTTCTTTCTTGAATGAACTGATCGTTGACATTTCCAAATCTCTGGTATCCATTCATTAACTACCTTATATGAGTGAACAGACCCACAGTGCTTACAAACATTCATTTTATTGTTATCTGAAATAATTTCTTGATTTTCACAACATAAGTATGCCTTAGCAGATCTATAACTATAACATATCTTTTTACCACAAAAGCAACAATTTACGTAATCAAAAACATCTTCTAACTCTTTATGAATCAATTTATTACAATACATATACTAATACTATATATTTTATTTTTAAGTAATTTTATATAATAAATATCCAGATATAATACCAATCCAACCATTGTAATAGATTGATAATTTTTCATATTCTTAGATGGTTTGTAAAAGTCATTTAATTGCGGTTCTCTATGAAATGTTAACCCATTATAATGTATCGTTTTTACTTTTCTAAGCGCATCTAAAGCTTTGTTTGTAAGTTCTATATCATCATCAGCATATTGAAGTTCTTGTCTAAGCTGTTGAATTTTATCATGCTACTTGACTTCATTTTCATAGAATGCCTCTTTAGCTTTAGATAGGTCCTCTAGAGCCTTATTGTGACGTTTCATTTCCTCAGCATAACCGTTTTTATCAAGTTTATGAAATAGCCAGCCTGCTAGAGAGAAACCTAACCCATTGACAACAGCTCCAAAAGCTGTTCCAAATCCACTAGTAATAACACTTGTCATATATATTTATACAGATTTAAATGGATTTTCAGGAACCCATTTTTTGTCTTGAGCATATTTAACTAGCATTGTCGATGTTATAATAGAAGTAGCTAGTTTAGCAAAATCTTTGATATTGTTTGTGTCTGTTAATTTTTGACCTAGTAGTTTTTTAGACGCCATAGAAAGACCTACAGCAGTTGTTGTCACAAGCACTGCATCAAAAGCTTCATTCATAAATTGTTTCTTATTCATAGTATTACTCATATATAATAGGAAATATTTTATTCAAATGAGTCTAAATTATATTGTTTATTTTTTTGTATCAAAACATGTTTTTCACTAGTTGTTTCTTCTCTCGCTTTATCGTTTGTTAATTTTTCCTGCCTTTTATCATTTTTCCTTGTATAATAGAGACTAGCAATAGCAGTTAATACTCCAATAGTCCCAAATAAGAATCCATAATTAATAATCCAGCTATTATCCTCAATTTTCTTTTTATTTTCTAATTCAATTTTATCTCGCATCTTTTTTTCTTTAGAAGCTTTCGAAATAGCAGCCAAGCGTTTACCAGCTTCTACTCTAATAGGGTCTTTCTCTTTTTTAACAGTAGTTATCTTTAGGTTTTCTTCAGACATGTTATATAATAATGTAGATTTTATTCACAGATAACTCACAGATAACTCATAGATAATCTTATAGATAACTCACAGATCTTTATATTTTTTATTATATTTACTCACCATACCATCTATATTAGTACAATTGTCTATTATAATATCATCTATAACTTTTATGTCTGATAGAAATATCACTTCATCATAAGGTAATCCTCTTAAATATGATCTTATATCCACAAGTATTCGTGAATATGATGTATATGCAAATTTACACATTTATAAGTTATTATTAATCTTACTCTTAACCATATAACCTTGAACTAAAGCACCTAGGCCACTAAGGGTGGCTATAACTATCGGGTTTACGGTTATACTACCACAATACCACCAGTCGAGACTAGAAAAATACTTCCCATGTTTAATGATAGTCTAATTTTATTTAATTTATTATACTTCCATTTATAACAGGTATACATTTTGTGATAGTACAAATACAACTTTTCAGCTTTTCAAATTCCTCTTGACTCAACTCACTCGAAATATGATTAAAATCTAGAACTTTTTCATATTATATTATAAAACATATTTAACTAATATGAATGATGATAGCGTTGATATACCGAGTAAAGCAATCATATCTGTTTGATGGGGATTATTTACTATCATTTTTGTATGTTTATGTACTACTGGTTTTTTATGAACTTCATCTAGAGTATCTAGGTGTTGTGATGGTGCATTATCTTGATGTACTTTTTTAGGTTCTTCCTTTTTAACTCCATAATAATTTATTTTAGAATTAATACCGAATTTCATAGTTTTATTAGCTAATGTTAAAATATTATTATACCCATCAATCTTTTTATCTAATATGATCATACGGCTGGGTATTAAAATCATACCAGGGCTGATTGCCATATTTAAAATAACATTCGTGTCTTTTATACCTTTTCTCATGTTAGATATCAATACAGTCGTATCATTCTGTACTATAGTATCCTCTACTAATTTCCTAAAACGTTTTGAGTTTGCATGCTCTTAGCTCCATGATTAACTATTGACCATCTTGTATTTGCTTGAGCTCCAAGAATTGTATAAACAAAACTTTCAATGCTCTCTTGCAAAAGAACTTTTCCGATTTTGTAATACCTTCAGAATGATATGCAATGAAGCTCCTATAATCAGTAGTCGAATATTGAAAATTAACATAATACCCATCATTGTTTTATCAAATTTTAAAATACCTTTATAAGGTATATGCTTTTCAATTCCGTAAAGTCATATTTGTCTAATAACGATGGATGCTTCATAAATTTTGATCTGATAATACAAATGGTATTTAACAAGGCTTTGTATAATTCTACTTTTATCAAAATTTAAATGATTAAGCCCAATACCACATAAAAACTGGCAACATAAGCCCACAAATCATAGCGTAGTACGCTTCTTTTTATAATTTAAATGACTTTTAATATTGTATCTTATACCAGTCGGCTGTTCTTTTTACTTTTAATTTCACTTGTCCACGTGGCTGTTATAGGTGGTAAACTACTCATAAAATAATCATTCTCTGTGACATACAATCTGAAGTTACAGATATCAACATTTACCGGCCTTTGAAATGTAGGTTTTACAATAAACTTTGAGGACCACCGATGTAACATATGATCGAAATAATCCTCAGAATGACCTTCATCTCCATTAACAGCTGCTATGAGATTTGAAAACAAAGGCGTTTTAGTTGTTTCTAAATATATTTTTGGCCATGATGTATATGATACATGTTTTAAATCATCATCACCTAATTTTATAGCATTTTCTTCTATTTCCTTGTTTGACATATAATATAAGCTATGTTATATATGAAAAGTTCACTGTTTTTATAGACGGAGATAGTAAAAAATTGACTTACAAGAAAGTATAGTAACAACTAACTATTCATATTTATATATCAAAAAGCTTATGTGTATTGGGAATATAAAATGTGAAATTAAATAATACTTTAGCTTTTACAATAGGCGCAACAAAATATAATATAGATGCTGGTTACTGGACTTTTAAAATGCTTAAAACGTTTCTTGAGTCTGTTAACGTAAAGCTTGAGATGGTAGAAAACAACGGAACTTGTAAAATAACTAATAATAATGACGAGGTATTAGTATTGTCTGATACTCTTATTAAAATGTTAGGTTTTAATGATACCATAAAAACTATGAAAAAGGTATCGTACAAAATGGTGTTTCTAAAGTGGATATAAACAGAGGATTGAACTATATTCAAATTTCTTCTAATATTGTAAATTCAAGTTATAATTATAACCCTGAAGGAAAAAAGTAATATAGCTTTAACTTTACCAGTAATAACAATTCAGTCGTTATTTGGTACTGTATACGAATACAACGATATTGAATCTAAAGTTACAATTATAAAGGAGCCTTTAACGAGCTAATATTTAATATATTAGATCAAGATGGTAACCCTGTTGAATGTAGGTAGTATTCTACTTGAATGTTATCTTGAGTAAGTTAAATGGATGAAGACATTAAAATTGAGCAAAGTTTAAGAGATATTTATTATGATCCAAAACAGGGTATCAATCAGCAGAACGGCTTTATCAGAAAGCATTAGAAGAAGGTATAGATGTTAGTAGAAAACAGGTTAAAGAATGGTTAATATCTCAAGATACATACACTAGATATAAACCTATTATTAGGAGACATAAATTCAGACAAACAAGGGTAAACTATCTTGGTGAACAAATACAAATGGATTTAGTTGATATGGGTTCTTATAAGTATAAAAACAATGGTTATTATTGGATATTAACAGCTATTGAAATATTAAGTAGATATGCATTTGCTATCCCTGTTTATAGGAAAGACACAAATAATATGACAAAAGCTGTTGCAAAACTATTAAGTCAATTTAAAGATAGATTTAATGATTACCCGAAACTAGCTCAATTTGATGATGGTAAAGAATTTTATAATGTAGGTGTCAAATCATTATTAGAGAAACATGGAATTAAGTACTTCTCTACTAAAAATGATAAAAGGCTGCGATTGTCGAACGATTCAACAGAACGCTTAAAACATCTATGTGGAAATATTTTTACAGTAAAGGAACATATAAATGGATTGATATATTAGATGATTTAGTATATAATTATAACAATACAAAACACAGTACAATCTTGATGAAGCCTAAAGATGTTAATAAAAATAATGAAGATGAAGTATGGAATACATTATACGGTCATGAAGTTGCTTATTTACCATTACCTAAGATTAAAATTGGTGATATGGTTAGAATATCAAAGTATAAATCTATATTTACGAAAGGTTATGAAGCAAATTTTACAGAAGAGTTTTTAAAGTGACTAAAGTTATTAGAGGAGATCCGAATTTATATGAGATAGAAGATTTAGAAGGAGAGCCTATAATTGGTAAATTTTATGAAGAGGAACTATCAGTTGTGAATAAGAAAGATGATGTTTATAGAGTTGAAAAGATATTAAAACGTAAGAAGGTTAAAGGTAAAAGATGGTTTTAGTTAAATGGTTAGGTTATGATAATAAACATAACAGTTGGATTCCTGAAAGTGAAATACAAAATATAGAGTAATCTATATAATGGCAGAAGGAGGTTTTGATTATATTGAATTAGAAGATAAGAAGCAAGAAGATGATAAAAAATGATAATGATGATTGAAAATTTTAATTTATTGATGAAACATCATTTACTGATGATAATTTTGGTGTAACAATAAGAAAAAGACAAATAAAACTAATACTCTTCCTGATGTTCCTACTTCACTCCTGTTTATACAAATATTATTAGACCTGAAAATGAAGTTTCTTTTGCTGTTGAATTTTATTACAAAAATTATAAAAAGAGTTTAGATTTAATCACCTAAAAGGTATGGCAGCTTCTGAAGGTATAAATTTTAGATTAAATTTAGGTAAAACTGATATAAATAATATTACTTACAAACCATTAAATACAAAAAATAAGCGAGGTGGTATAATTGTTTTAAAACGTAATAGTAATGGAATACTACAATACAATAAAACAAAAAATGCTAAAGAAGCTGTTAAACAATTTAAAACGAAATTAAAAGAATTATTAATTTGCAAGATGAATTTATAAAACTGAAGAGAGTATGCCTATGGTTGATTTAAATAATCAATATATAGAGAATTTCAATCAAATAACTAATGAAGAACTTAGAGAACATATAGGTGTAATGACTCCCTCTGGAACTATTGATAAAAGAACAAGACCGAAATTTATAGAAGCACAAATAAATCACTTTACTGAAGAGCTAAACAAAACTATAGCTAGAATAGATGAAATAAAAAATGAAAATGGTATTGACAACAATATTGATGAATTAACTAATTTGCATGAAAGAGCCGGAATTAGAAATTATAATTAGAGAAGAAGAAGAGCAATTAGAAAAGAGGATGTACGAGATAAACAGGAAGAAGACATTACTAGATTACAGCGTTTAAAGAATGGGTTAAGAAAATATCCCAGGATTATCAGCTTTAGCTATATCTGTGGCTGGTATAATTACAACCATTGTCATTGGTGCAAGAAAAGCAATCCTACAAGGTGCTCAAGCTACTAGTAAATTTTCTAAGGCTTTAGCAAATCTAGGTAAAAATTATGGCCAGTGTTAGGACCATTATTGAATATTATCGCTCAGACTGTATCTTGGGGGCTAAAGGTTTAGCATGGTTAGCTTCTAATCTATGGGTTTTAGCTATTGCTGCTGCTTTGTTAATATATGATCAGTATAAACAAAGAAGAAAATAAAATATGTTTTAATATATATGAATAGATTATTACAAGAAGAGCTTTTACCTGGTTATAAAAGGAGTACTATGACAAAAATTAAAGGTGACCGTACTTTTTATAGTATAACCTTTAATCCTAATAGTCTTAAACCGAATGAACAAGTTTATATTAATATTCCGAAATTGAAAGCAAATAGTTGCTAAGTGCCTGGTTCACTTAATCTATCGTTTGATCTTAAAATCAGTAATACAAAAAGTCACTTTATAAATAATCTCAGTCAGATTTTACAACATAGACTACAAATTAAAGTGGCTGGGGAAACCCTTTACGATTGTAGTGAACATAATGTTATAAATGTATACAAAGACTTGTGGTTACCTAAAAGTGATCGACAAGGTCTTATTGAATATGGTATATGTAGTCAAAATCTAAGAAAACTCATTTCTAAGGATGATAGTGCTGAAACAAGTGGAGATTCAGAAAAAGTAGCAGACAAATTAATGTATGATATTTATTGTACAAGGCAGAAAATTAATATTGACTATATTTTGAAAAACCACGGTGTGTATGCACCATATCAAATGCATAATAACTTTCAATACATAATAACATTACCACCAAGTGATCAAGTCCTTATCCCTCAAAGCGGTCAAACTATCGGTGATTATGAATTAGAAAATATTCAGCTGGAATATGAAACTATTGAAAATCAAGAAATTGCTGATGAGGTGACAAATTTATATTCTATAGGAAGAAGTCTATTTTATCAGCATATAACCCTCTTAAAAAAAGAAAAATGGGATAAGTCAAGTACATTACAGAATATTAACGTTAATGTGCCTCGTAAAGCTATGAAAGGTATCTGTCTACTATTCACAGAAAATTCAATTAGTGATAGTGAGAAATTTATATAGCCAAAAATTGATGAAGTTAAAATAACTATAGAAGGGTGCCTAATGTATTTTCGCCCAAGGTATGAATAAAAACTATTTTATGAAGAAGCAAGAAAATTTTTGATAGAACTATTCCGATAGATTGCTTCATGACAATTGAAAAATTTTATAAGGATAAATTTGCATTAGTTATCGATCTACGCACCTTTCAAGAAAAAATATTGCTGGTAACGGAAAAAATCATTAATACTCAAAACGGCATTCTTCTCGAAATTAAAAAGAGCATATACAAAAGATTTAAACTGTTACATCTATGTTATTAGTGATGCTCTTGTTCAATTTGTTAATAATGATTTACAAAGTATTCAATACTAGAATAACCAGTAATATATAAATGAATACACCCTTTAATATGATTATTTTAGGTATGACTAATTGTGGTAAACCTTCTTACCTTCTAAGAATGTTAGAAAAAACTTTAATAGACATTTTGATTATATTATTTTATTATGTCCAACGCTATCATATAATAAAACCTATCAAGAATGGAAATATATAAATGATTCTGATTTAATTAAAGTAGAATGTGACCAAGATCAGGTAGATATTGTTTTAAAATATGTTAGTGATGTATATAAAGGTACAAATAGTCTTATTATACTTGATGACTGTGCGAGTTGCTTAGATGTTAAAAATAGGACATCGAATTAATAAAATTAGGGTTCAGTGCTCGTCATTATGGGCTTTCTACTATTGGTTACACAGCAATTGACTAGTATTTCTAAACCTTATCGTGAAAATATAAGTTATTTAGTTACATTTTATAATACAAAGCGCAATGATATGAAAACCATATTTGATGACTATCTTTATGGTGTTGAGAAAGATGATATAGAAGAAATAACTAAAAAATTGAAAAATAATAAGTATGCATATTTAGAAATTCAATGTATGTACCCACGCAAATGGAAAATAGTTATTCCGCAATAAAACATGTGCTATATATATATATATGCCAAAGCGTATAGAGCCTGAAACAATTGATGATATAATTAATGAGATTGATTCCGCAAATGACACTATCAAAGATGCTGTATGTGATGATAATATACAAGATAAACCGCAAGAGAGTTTTAATAAAAGAGATCAACTACTTAAACTAGCTGAAGATGGTGATTTAGACAAGTCAGTTGCTTACATTAAAAAAGCTAGTCAAAAAATTATTGATAAATTATACACTGAATACAAGAAAAAACGATTACAAAAAGCTAATGAGTTTTTAACTGATTTAGTTATATCAAAATTTTCAGATATATTAAAAGGGTTTGATGCTATTGAAGATCCCAAAGAATTAACAAAACAGCTTAAATCAGACGACCTTTTAAAACGAGATGTGTACAGTTTAGTAGAAAAATCATCCTATTAGGTTTTATCTGGTGGTAACAACCGTTAAACATGTTTACGAAAATAAAAATAATAAACCGGATAAAAATCTGAGGAAAATTTTAAATGGATATTTTTAAATATCCACAGATATTAATGTAAATATACAAATTGCTTTATTACAAAATTATCATATTTTAATACTTAAACAATGACTATATTTCTAGTGCCAAGCATTAAAGTTTAGTATAAAATTAGCCAACCAAATAGTAAAATCTATAGTGGTAATTATCTAAATCTATTTTAAGAACTGAAAACTAAATGGCTGTTTAACATCTAGTGGCTCAAAAACGAAAATAAATAAAATCTATAGTAATATTGTAATCTGATGGTAAGTAGCTTGACTCAAATTTAACAACATCTATTTTAAAAGCTGATAATTTTGACCTTTAAATATATTAAATTGATAACATTATTCTAATGAAATATATAACAAGTGAACTAAAATTTTCTGTTACATCATACAAAAATATACTTAAAGCAAATTAATTTACAAAGACTAATTTGAAAAAGTTGGTAATGAAGAAAGATTGGCTTTGTAGCTAAGAAAAATGCATTGTTTGTTGCATTTCTTTTATTTTCCGATCTCATCTTCATGGATAGACGGGATTAAAACATGAAAATTTCCTATCCGATTAAGAAAATGAAAAAAATCGCACATATCTACAATAAGTTACTATTTTCACTCTATCGACTGTATCATGTCACAAACTAACGTGAAGAGATTCAGCGTATGTAAAACGAAATGTTGAAAACCATAACAGAAGCTTATACTTGTCGCAAATCTTGCATTTAGGGGCATGATGAATCTAGTAGCATTAATAGAGGATATAAAGAGCTACTTGAAAATTTTGCCAAGATAAATTCACTTTTGAAAGGCGATTACATGGAAGGCTTGCTGAAACCCACCTTGCTGGGGGAGGGCGGTTTACTGGAGTCTCTCCTGATATTCAGAATGATTTGATTGATTGTCTTGATAAGATAATAGAGGATGAGATTTTAAAGGAAATATATTGCTGCACTTTCTTAACTATACAGGTTGATGAGGCAACTGATGTTTCTACCAAAGAACAATTGAGTGTAATTGTTCGAATGGACAAAGGGAAAGTGTCATTGAAAGACAGCTTGGGTTTGTTGATGTTAGTTGTGATAGGACTGCAACTGCTATATCATCAGTGGTTAAGGTAAGTTAAGTCAATATAATAATGTGAAAAGAAATTTATTGGACAGACTTATGATGGTGCATCTGTTATGTCTGGTCATCTCAATGGTGTTCAAGCTCAAGTTCAGCAGGATTATCCTTATGCTCAATTTGTTCACTGTGCTGCCCATAGACTAAATCTAGTATTATGTCAAGCTGCATCCTCCATCTCACCTGTTAAGATTTTCTTTGTTAATATTAGTGCTTTCTGCACCTTTACTAGCAATTCCCCAAAGAAAAGCTTTACTATCATCCCATAGGCTTGAGTTTCCTAGTCCTGGTGACACAAGATGGTATTATAGGGCTCATGTCATCAATGTCTTGCATTCTAACTATGAGAAACTGATAGACATATTTGAAAATCTTACTGATAATCCAATAGGTTGGGATGATGAAACGTTAAGTAAGGTTACTGGTTTACTTGGCTACCTTAATGGCTTCTTGTTTTGTTTCTTGGTACATGTTTTCCAGAAAATTCTTGAGCAGTCATCCATACTTTATTCTATCTTGCAAGACAAGGACACTGTTGAATAAGTGGGACCACCAGTAACCAGGTATGACCAACGGCATAATTACAAACAAATGTATTTTTTAATTCTTGACACAATTGTGACTATGCTGACTGAGCGATTTCAGGATATGGAGCGTTTTAGATTTTTGACCTTGTTTACCCTAGGGTGTTTAAGATGTGGAAAGGTGAAGTGCCCTCAGAAAAGATAATCTTCTAAAGGAGGTTTATGGTGATATGTTTGACATACCAATGCTAGTTAGCCAACTTTGTTTTATTTACAGAGATAAAGACTTTCACTGTGATTCATGCGATGAATTATTGAAATATATTTTCAGTTCCATTATCAATGTAGTATTCCAGAAATTGTAAAACTGTTAAAGATAAATGGGGTTTTGTCAATTACAAGTGCTTCAGTTGAGAGGTCATTTTATTGTTTGAAGAGGGTAAAAAATTATCTTAGAAATACTATGAGCCAAGGACGTTTTAGTTCTCTTTGCAGGATTTCCATTCACAAAGACATACTGTCAGAGAAAGAAGACGCCAACACATTGCATGATGAGGTAGTAAAGAAGTTCATTGAAAAACCACGAAGACTTGCTTTCTTATACAAATAGGTATTCATATATGGCTGATAGCAAGCTGATGATGTCTTACGTCCATGGCATGTGAGAATTTTTCCGGGAACTTTTTAATGCAGTCAATGATGATTGTCATTTCAGCACGACAATTTCATCACAACTTTTGATAGTTGTTGATGACAAATCTGAGCCTTTTTCGGTTCTTTTGTCAAAGTTTCTTTACAAGATGTACATAGGTATCTATTTATGTATGTAGTGTTGAGAAAATAAATCACATATCTGCAACTATTTTTGAATTGTTTCTCTGCTTTACTATAAGATCCTTCGGCAATTTAAATTAACCAAAATGGTTCTATTTCCTGCATGAATATCACGCATTTGCTTTCTAAGATAGCCGTTTCCGACGTTCTAGGGAGTCTAAATTCGGAAAATTTTATCGCTCGGCGCCAACCATGGTGGCGCCTCGTGAGCCCGACCAAATGTTTTTTGCTAGCTACGCCACTGAGAAAAAGTATCACCATTAATGCCTTTTTTAGGGTTTTTATCTGGGGGTATAACAACCGTTAAACATGTTTACGAACATAAAAATAATAAACAGGATATAAAATCTGAGGAATAATATAAATGAGCTTATTTTATGGGCATGATAAAACAGATATTAATGTAAATATACAAGGATCTGTAGATAAAACACATCTATCAGATAACCACTACACTAAAACTCAAGTTAATAATAAATTTAATGACTACTATACTAAAACACAAGCTGATGGTAAGTATGCTTTGACTTCTAATTTACTAAAATATTATACTAAAACACAAGCTGATAATAAATATGTTTTTTGTTTCAAGATTAATAACTATTATACAAAGAATGAAACAAATGGTAAGTATGCTTTAAGTTCTAATTTAAATAAATATTACACAAAGAGTGAAACAGATGGTAAGTATGCTTTAAATTCTAATTTAACTAACTATTATACTAAAACACAAGCTGATGGTAAGTATGCTTTGACTTTTAATTTAAATAACTATTATACTAAAACACAAGCTGATGGTAAGTATGCTTTGACTTCTAATTTAAATAACTATTATACGAAAACACAAGCTGATGGTAAGTATGCTTTGACTTCTAATTTAAATAACTATTATACTAAAACACAAGCTGATGGTAAGTATGCTTTGACTTCTAATTTAACTAACTATTATACAAAAAATGAGATTGATAGCAGAGTAAATGGTAAGTAGTATACCATAGCAATCAATTAAATTATAAAAATTTTAATAGCCGACAAGATACTGTCGGAATTTATTTTAATAATATTAAATTTATTGAATTTACACTTTTATTAATAAATCCGTCAGATAACTCTAAAACAATTGAATTAGATATGATGGCAGATAAGATTAAAAAAAAAATTTATTATTAAACTAACAAATGATAATGAAAAAAAGATAGTTAATGCATTACTAGATTTATATTACGTATACTGTGTTGATGACGATTTAAAATATATTTATATTATTATTGAACCAAAAAAATCTACAGTTTCAATTGATTATGACGAATGGAAAAGAAAATGGCTGACAGCATTTAATGGATTAACCAAAATACAAGTTTATTCACAACATCAATCTACATTATCTATGACATTTAATGGTTTTTCACAAAATTTCGGGGCTACTATAGAAGATAATATTCTATCAACTAAAAAATTTGTAAATGATGAAATCGAAAAATTAAAAAAATTTATTAAAGATAACTATCAAGCTAAAACTTGATGAAGAATAATCCTCATGTTTGACTACATATCACATAACTGTTTGTAATAAGTAATTAATACAAAAGCGATATACAAAAAAATTCAAAATCCTGAAACAATTAGTAAAAAACACTTTTAACAAAAATTATATAAAACATTGTATTATTATACATGCGCTGATGAAATGTACTAGCTCCAATAAGCAACTATTGTTAAACATGTACATGTAACACGCGCTTGACAGACAAATTAAAAAACATATAGATTCCATATTTTGTAAAGAGCATTTATGACATTGTTGCGCTCAAAATTTCAGGCTTAGTTGCCTGAAATTCTTCGCCCCGAGACAACGATTTAAAAAGATGCTTTATTAACAATTAATTATTAAAGAATATTTCTACCACGCGCCAAGTTTTAAGACCATTGTTAAAAGCCACTAGTTTGTATTGTAGCTAAGACACATCCAGTCCTTAAACCAACTCAAGGACAGGCCCAATAAGGATCTGTTTCATTCTAGCCATCTTGATATTTGCCTACTCAGCACCTTTGTCAACCACATTTACAAAAAAGGTACAAAAATGCTCAAACGTATATTTCTTTCACTTTAGTGCGTGCATACTTGCCCAGTCCTTTTAAGTGAGTGTCACTTAATACTTTTAATATTTCGAATTGGAATTATGAAAAAAACCCCATTGAATAGTAGTTTCTATAGAAACTGTATTGGTGGTATACTGCTTAAGTAAAATTATGAATGCTATATGACTTTAACTTGTATTTATTGAACCGAGCGTTATCTTGCGTTTCAGATGGCCAAGCGATAGCCGTTAAACTTTCCAAACAAATAACGCAGAGAACAAATTCCATTAAAACTACAATAGCCAAGCATAATGCATCACTAAAGTCTTTGGAAGATTGGATTGAAGGACTACCTAAAAAAATTGAATTCGACGAAGCAAAAGATCCAAGGTCGCAACTTTATTGGGATTTTAACTTTCAAACAAATAAAGATACAGTACCGTTCACTGCTAAATGTTCTGCTATTGAGTTGCATAACTTTCTTGAAAGATGCAAAGAGGAACAAGAGATGTTAGAAATGGAAACAGAAAAACTAGTACACTATTACTTGGACAAGAAACAAGAACTGGAGTCCTATATCAATGTAAATGGGGAAGTTCAGAGCAAAATCGTGAGAGGAACTGTAGCAAATTTTAAGAAAGATTTAATTAACATAAATAATGCACTGTATTCACTGAAACATATGTTAAATGACTATTTAACAGAAGCTAGTAAGAGTAAATTACCATTCATCAAGAAAGAAGCAGAGCATGCATTATCTATTTTGCGTCCAACAAACATAATTGAGTATATATTAGAGATTGAAACCAGTTCAGTTGCTAGCGAGACTGACTGCGAATCACTGCTTCAATTTTCAGATTTTGAATCGGACACCGAGTTAGAATAATTCCATATACACACGTGTATATATATATAGGTGGACCGCAAGGTGGATCGCAAGGAGGACATCAAGAAACATCTGAGACTCGCAGGATGGAACGTGAGGACACTGCTTGATCGACCTGGATCTAAACGACCGGAAAGGCAAACAGCGCTAGCAGCAAGGGAGTTGTCAAGGTACAGCATCGACGTGGCAGCACTGAGTGAAACCCGGCTCGCTCTAAGTGGCAGCTTGGTTGACCAAGGATACACCTTTTTCTGGAGTGGAAGAGAGGAGAGGGAGAAAAGAGAGGCTGGAGTTGGTTTTGCTATAAGAAACCAAATCGCCCAGAAGTTGGAACAAGAACCGGTAGCTGTAAGCGACAGAATAATCACTCTACGCCTTCCTCTGCAGGGGACGGTGTGGGCTACTATTGTTAGTGTCTACGCCCCGACCATGACTAACCCTGATGAGATAAAGGAAGATTTCTATCAGAAGTTGAGGGAAACTATCAGAGAAGTGCCCAGCACCGATAAGCTCATTATAGCCGGAGACTTAAATGCCAGAGTTGGAGATGAAGTGGAAAACTGGCCTGGAGTATTGGGACATTATGGCGTGGGCAAGTGCAACACCAATGGAGAACTCCTCCTAGCCTTGTGCTCTGAATATGGTCTGGTGATAACCAACACTGTTTTCAAGCATAAGCACACCCACAAGACGACATGGATGCACCGAGGTCTAAGCACTGGCACCTCATCGACTACGTGATCACTAGGCAGAGAGACCAGAGGGACATAGTCAACACCAGAGCATTTAGAGGGGCTGATTGCAACACAGATCATAACATGGTGCTGTCCAAAATCGCCTTCTCACTAAGGAAACAAGTCAAGAAAACTGGAGGACAGCACAGGTACAATCTCAACGTGGCCAGACTGAAGTGTGACAGTGTGCGCAAAGACTTTCAGAGAAGTATGACAACATCACTACAGGAGAGCTCAACAGGAGACTCGGATGTTGTAGGGAAGTGGGAGACGTTAAGGGATACAGTATTTAATACAGCAAAAGAAATCCTAGGCAAACCGAAACGCAAGCACCAGGACTGGTTTGACGAAACAGACGAGGAGCTAAACAGACTACTAGAGGAGAGGAACCAGGCAAAAGCAAGACAGCTGACTGTAAACACCAGGTCTACCAGGGCAAACCTTGCATCAGCACGCAGCAAACTACAGAAGTACACCCGACAGAAGAAGTCTCAGTGGTGGGAGACTAAAGCAGAGGAACTGCAGCACGCCGCAGCAGAAAACGACATGAAGTCCTTCTATGGAGGTCTTAGAGAAGTATATGGCCCACAAAGAGAGGTACTGCCCAACTGCTCGCTCTTGATGGAGAGACTGTGTTGACAGACAACAAGAAGATGCTGGAAAGATTTGCTCAGCACTTCGACCAGTTGTTAAATCTGCCTGGAAACGTGGATAGTGCTGCTCTTGCGAGCATCACCCAACGTCCAACAGTCCACGTACTGGATGAGCCCCCAAAGATGGATGAACTTCTGAAGGCGATCGCAGCAACTAAGGAAAGCAAAGCTCCTGGATGTTGTGGGATACCTGCAGAAGTATGGAAGTATGGTGGTACAACACTCAAAGAGAGGTTGCTAGATGTGATCGGAGATATCTGGATAGGAGAGAAGATTCCACAAGATTGGAAGGACGCGAATATAGTCCCTATATTCAAGAAAGGCAGTCGTAAAGAGTGCGGCAACTATCGCGGCATTTTCTACTCTCAATCGCTGGGAAGGTGATGGCTCGAATACTCCTCAATCGTCTGAACGAAATGATAAGTCCCAGAGTAATTCCTGAGACCCAGAGTGGATTTCGGAGTGGGCGGAGTACCATGGATATGATATTCAGCCTACGACAGGTTCAGGAGAAATGCACTGAACAGAACATGCCCCTCTATGCAGTTTTCATAGACTTTACTAAGGCCTTTGACACTGTCCCTAGAGGCGGCTTGTGGGCAGTACTGAAAAGTTTGGCTGTACTGATAAGATTATCAATCTCGTGAAAGCGTTTCACGAAGGAATGCAAGCTAAAGTCACTCGTGGGAGCGACTGCTCTGAGGGATTCGCTGTCTCAACAGGTGTAAAGCAAGGGTGTGTGCTGGCTCCGACACTGTTCTCATTCTACCTGGCTGCCATGCTGGAGGTTGCCTTCGAGGACACAAGGGAAGGTATCTACATCCAGACTAGACATGATGGGAACCTATTCAACGCCTCACACTTCAAAGCTAAGACACGCACAACACGTCAGCTTGTCAGAGATATGCTTTTTGCAGACGACTGTGCTCTGGTTGCTCACAGTGCAGCAGAGATGCAGGCATTGGTGGACAAATTTGCACAAGCTGCCGCTATGTTTAGCCTCAAGATAAACATCAAAAAGACTGAGTGCCTCTACCAGCCAGTAAAGCTTCTACTCCCTCCCCCAAAACCCTGTGCAATCACCATTGACGGACAGCCTCTTGTCCAGACCACAGACTTCAACTACCTGGGTAGTACAATCTCCAGCAATGCTAAGATTGAAAAGGAGCTGAGGAACAGAATGGGAAGGGCGAGTGCAGCGTTCAGTCAACTAAACGATCGGCTATGGCAAAATAAGCATGTCTCGACCAGAGTTAAAGCCAAGGTCTATCAGGCGGTGGTGCTGACAACACTCCTTTATGGAGCAGAGGCATGGACAATCTACAGGCTTCAAGTAAAGAAACTGAGTGCGTATATGATGAGACATTTGCGGGACATTCTGAAGATATCATGGCGGGACAAGATTGCAAATGCTAAGATTCTCCGTCTGACTGACCTGCCACACATGGCTGACATGCTGATTCAAAAGAATTTAAGATGGATTAGTCATGTCCATCGTATGGAGAGATCTCGTTTACCACGCCAGCTATTGTACAGCCAACTAGTAGAAGGGAAACGAAACCAAGGCCGACCTCGACTCAGACTCAAAGATGTCATGAAACGAAATCTAAAGAGGAGAGACATCAACGTGACAACCTGGAAGCAATTGGCTGATAACAGACCGGCCTGGAGAGCTTCAATCCAACCATAGAACAGTCCTCGTCGCTTACGACTGACTGCATGATGATGATGATGATGATATATATATAATTATAAGTTATTAATAGTGAACGCTTTCGCTTTATGCAAAGCTCACCTTTATAGGTTTGAGCGCTCTGGGGACTCTACAAAACAATCCATACAATGTGTAACCGTACATCCTGTGTCCCAAGTGCAGCATTCACCTTTTTACTAGGGTGATAGCCGAAGGTCACATTGTTATACACTTTATATATATATATAGGAAGTTTATATTTCTCTTTTACAACATATTCTAATAATTGTTTTTATAATAAAGAATTAAGTGCAGTATCAGTTAAAAAAATTCCTTTTTTTCAGTGATAGAATTAAATTTATATTTTATATAATTATAATATGCATTACAGTATTCATTCTATTACCCTCTAATACATCTTCATTCTATTTATACAAATTATTTTTACTTTCTTCATTGAAATTCATGAGTTTCTTCAAATTTTAAGTCCAGAAGTATATCTAGTTCTTTGTAAGTAATTAGTTATTATCTGAATCATCATACTCCAATTCAAATATTATATATTTTGAAAATAGAATCAAAGGAGCTTTTTCATATTTCATTATTTGTATTGATTGTATATTAAAATTAACACTAGCATCTAGTTTAGATAATCCACCATTTAAATTAAAAAAGTTTTTTATGTAATAATAAAAAAGATGAAATATTATTTGGTTTGTTATCGGAATTTCTTATACTGTTTGGTAAACAATTTTGCACATTAGTTACTTCACCAAGTTCTTGGATTTTTGTACATTTCCACTTGTAAAATGAGTAAATTATATGGAAGTGCTGAATAAATATTTAATTTAATACTACTCCTTTTTTGAGGTTTTTTGGTTTTAAACTCTTTATTCAATATAAAATATTATTTTTATTAATTCCTGTTAAATTAAATGGATATAATATATCCATCTGTGGAATAAAAAGTTTCGAGATAAAGTATCACTATGTTGCGGTAATTTAATAGGTCGTAATTTAATTTCCATTTTTTAATCAATTTGACATTCCAACGTTATATTTATAGAATCAAATGGTATAATTGCCTTGATGATGCAATACTTTTATAGTTAAATTCTTAATAAATGAAAAAATTAATTATTTTTTTATAAGTGGAGGATTGTACACAAATAAATTGTCTCCACTTTCATTTGCATAATGTAAGGGAACAATACATAGCAATTCCCTTTTTAAATCACCAACAATTTCTCTATCAATTTTGTCACAATATATAAACATTTTATTGATTCCAACTGTCTCATCAGGACGATATGGACAATGAAATATTTTTTTTTTACAAATTCACGTTTCTTACAATCAAATCCAGACTCAAATGTATATTTTATTACTTCTTTGTCTAACCCCAACATAAAACTTAATTTTTTTGAAAAATTTAATTTAATTTCAATTGTATCATTTCCTGAAGCATAATCAGTATATTGTATTTTGCTTAGTATAGGTTTTATCCATATATAATTTTTAACATCATATTTTTACCCTGATTAGAATAAGATTCTTTCCTTGAACATAGTAACAAGTATATCCATTTGTTAAAATTATATTTTTTACTATTTCTATTCTTAAAAATATTATAATCATTTAAATAATCATTCAAAAGCGATATAATTTTTTATTGTTATATATTCCCAATGGTATTTTAATTCTTGGTAAATTAAACTTTAAAATTGGATATAAACTTATATCAATATTTTAGTAGTAACATCCGTTTGAATAAAATATTTCGAAAATTTTAATTCTAAATCACACCAGAATTCATCTTCATTAATGTTTTTGCTGTTTTGGATAAAAACGTTTAACACTGTTATGTATTTTTTATTATTTAATGCATCAATTTGACCAGGTAATGTTGTAGCAAAATGATTAATATAGTTTTTTTTTAACAATTTTTATTATTAACTTTACTAATTAATGTAATATTTTTCATTTTGAAACCTTTTATAATTCATCACAATAAAATTTCCCTTGAATTTCTTCATCGTTGCTATCACAAAGCTTTTAAGTAACAAGATCTGTCAACAAAACTTTATTTATATAAAAAGTCTCATTAACCCACTGTCTTAAACTTTCCTTTTCAAAAAGATTATTTTTAATTCTTGAAATTTGCACTTTATCATTTTTCTTTAATATACTTAAATTTTTATCTCTTTTTTTGTTCATATATTAGATAATCTTTTGATATAATTTTTTTTCCATCTAAATAAACATATGGTGAAAGATTGTCAGAAAGTAATCCACGATAAGGATTCTCGTTATATCTTTCCACAATTAAATGTAAGTATTTTCATAAGTAAATGTTTTTTCCGTTTCTTGTTTGAAACATCTTAATAGTTTTCCAATCATCTGTTTTATTGTTTGTATAAATCTATCAGCATGAGTAGCTATAATTTTATAAATTATAAATATTATAATTTGTAAAATTATATTTTTTTGACAATTCTTTTCGAGTCCCTTGAAATTCAGTTCCCTCGTGTGATATTATTTCTTTAGGAAATTCATTTTCTTTCAATACAATATCTTCAAATTTTTCCATAACATTTTTACTAGATTTATTTTGCAATAACTGAACAAAACCATATCTTGAATAAACATCAACTACACATAACAAATAACACAAATTATCATTATATCTTGCCAAATCTTTTGTTTCAGCTAAATTAATAGTCCATAAATAATTTTTTTTCATACATTTATATTTAAACGATTACATTTTTTTGATACAAATTATGTATATTTTGTTTATTATCTTCTAAATGTTCACCTTTTAATAATCTTGCAGCTCTTTTTATAAAGTCATTGTTAATTAAATTATTAAATTATTAGTTTTCTTCTTCGTTCTCCTCCTCATCATCATTCACAAACGTTGGAGGATGATGAAAATCAAGCTTTGAAAAAAAATATATCATTATATGTTCTTTCAATTTTATCATTTCCATATTTTTTATAAAATTCTATAAAATCATATTTCTTTCCAATTTTTTCCTCTAAAATTTCATTCATAAATTCACTATGATAAGCAATGCAATCATATATTGGAATATCCAATTTATTAGAAAACTCTTTCAATACATAAATAGCTTAAATGTCATTACTATTTTCAATATCTTTTTGTCATTTTTTACTTGTTACAGGTTTTGGCATTTCTTATTTACTTTTTCTACTTTAGCTTCCTTCTTTTGATTTTTTCTTTTCTTCTTGACTTTTTAATAAATCACGACAAAATCCAACAAATTGTCGCAATTTTTGTGATATAATTTTTAAATCGTCATCTTTTCTTAAATATATTTTGTAAATTTCATCCGTCCAATCAATCATTGCAATATCATTTAGATCAGTGGGCTTGAAACAATCATCCTCATCATCATCATCACTAACATAAACAGTTCCACTTTCATCCACAACTTGGTATGATTTTTGTGTTTTCTAACTTAACTTCTTATCTGAATCACGTTCAAAGATAACGCGTTTCTCAGTAGATGAAAACAAAACTTCAAATAAAATTTCCTTTTCATCTTTATTTGCAATCTTATTCAACACATTTACCAATCTTTCACATGTTTGCAAATTCATTTGCAACTCATCTTTACAGCACATTCCATCGTTGTATGGAGAATAAACGGATTTTGAAAAAAAATATAGATTACTAAAGCGATTAAAACTGCATACTTTATTTGAAATGATTGCTTTTCCATTAGAATAACTTTGTAAAACTGTTACCAAATCTCTAAAATTTTTCTTGTAAATGATATACACTAGTATAAGGGATAATGGGTTAACAATTGACAATGTCTATATTTTTTAGTTAATCCTTTAACCTGCAATGTGCTTTACACATTTTCTGACAAATGCCACATGACTCTACTTATCATTGGGGTAGCTACGAAGCTTTATTAAACAATCCACAAATAAAATTGGCAAAGAACGAAAATGGGCTTAATTAATTGATTCAAAATTGGAGATTTTTGAGACTTTTGTGAGCCTCAAAACTTTTAAGTATTTTGGTCTGGTATCTGAATGCCATGCAAAATCACAAGTTGGCATAAATGCAATGAGCAAAGGCAATATATAGTAGAGACAATAGACGTGGTGTTGAAATAGCATGAGAAAAACAACAAAACGTAACCAAGAACATTTGGAAATTTTTTTACTTGTTTCCCCCGATAGTTATTTCTTAACATTCAAACTACACTTGTGCGTAATATAAGAATACAAATATTTTAGGTGCATACAATTATTGGTAACAACATGAACATGCTATACAAAAAAAAGTTTAACACACAACAGGAAATCCTGTTTAGCAAGGCATTCCAGAACAGACGTGTGAAAATCGAAAGGTATGCTTATTTGGGATGTAAACATTTTGGTTTTCAACCTTAAAGTTCCTAATTCTTTGTCCTGGTAATAGATTAGGTTTAATCCAATGTTTGTTTTCTTGGTTTTAATGAGTTTATAAGTTAGTTCTGAGCTCGTCTTGTCTAACCAATATCCCCAAATCTAATCTTCAGTAGACAATGATTCAATGCCTTCAGCTGCACCAGGATAATAGAAGAGACAATACGGTTCATCAGAGTCAGTATAAACCGGAAGAATGTATCCTTCGTGTGTTCGACTGCTTTTACAGTTGGCAATAAGAGTCGCAAAGGCATCAGGTTTGAAAAAATTTTTAAGTTTCCCAGTCAACAAATCGAGGTCTGACTTTGTCAAATCTACATCAGTTACCACCAAATCGCATTCTTCAATCAGCTTGTTACGTATCAAGCACATTGATACTTTGGCTTCTTCAAAAACAACTTTCTTCAACACAGATAGGTAACATTCTCTCTCTTGATCAGAATATTTACGATTCTCTGTCAAAACATTTTCTACTTGCGGTGATTCGATTATTTTGAAATGAATATTCTGCACATTTTTCATAATATTAGAAATCTGTTTAATACCATACTGACTGGGTTTTTTAAACGTAATACCTTCTGGCAAACCAGTAACAGTAAATCCTCCTTTTAAATAAGGTACTCGGCACGTTTTAATACGTACAAAACTATGAGGACAGACACAATAAATGATATTTCCCAAATATGTAAACTGTAATGCACATTGTTCATTTTTTTACGAAACAGCATTCTTTCCCATGATTTGATTTAATAAGTTTGGAAATGTTTCACAATGGTGTAAAACATTCACACTGACTTAAAATAACTTGATTGTCAAAAAAGGAATTGTGTATAAAATGGACTAAAAAATATCAACCATGACACAAGCTCAGAAAATGGAAAATCATTTCAAATGCAATTTGCACTTACTGTAATTCTGGTTGAATAGTTTTATCACATCACACACCCGGTACTTTCTGACAACCTGTTTTGGAGAATCTATTTAATAAAAAAAAACATTGATAAAGAAATAAAGCCCGTGTAAAATGTATGGAAAGAAGGGAGAGGATTATTCATATATCCAGCTGAGCCTAAGTGATTACTTTTGAAAGCAATTTACTTTCAAAAGAAATCCGAAGGGCACAACTGAATAAACATTCTTGGAACAGCACTAATGCTTGAGAAATAATGCACTGGTATTCCAAGACCCACAAGTTTCTGAAAATAACTGTGTGGGTACAGCACTTACCCAAATACTCAACGAAATTGACACCAATTTTTTCATTTTTATTCAAAAAGTTGATTCCTTTTTCTGTTCCAAACTGTTGAAGACAAGAATCACCAGGCTCCAAGAATAAAACAACTGCTTCACAACCAAGACTTTCTAAGTAAGTAAGCTAGCAAAGAGAAATTTAATTGAATTTACACAGCATAAGTTTTCAGCAAATCAAATTTTTTCTCTAAGTAAACAAAAAGTATAAAAATCAACACATCTACAATGTGTTTAATTAAACACTTATCATAATAGCTTTGGCCTTATTTTATGATACGTATACTACTATTTTGTGGGGAAATTAGAGCCTCTCGTACACTCTAATCTATCTAAAGCTATGGGGATTGCAAAATTTCTTACAAAATACTCCCCCTACACATCCATGACACGGGTCTATCAATGCTAATATTTTCCACAGTAAAATTGCAAACGTTACAAAATGCTAACTTTGTGGATCTGTAACCCAGTAGACTTGGCTAAATTTCAGCATTTATTTGCTACTTCTAACAATTCATAACAACTTTTACAAATTTTTTTGTTGTAGAAGTTTTCTTTAGGTAAATTGTCTTTCCTTTAGAATGGATTGAAATTTACAAACCATCACGTTATGTTTATAGAGATGTTCAACTAAATCTACGCACAAACAATTGAAGTAAAAATCATTCTCTTATATCATAATACTGTACATACTGTATGTACAGTGGGTAATAACAGCTGTACCTGTGACAAAAGCTGCTTTTTCTCTTTTTTTACTTGGTTTGTGCGCTGCTTAACTGTCAAGTCATGAATGTCATTGCTTTGAACAGCCTTTGCTCTTTCTGCCCAAATCACACGTTCCTCTGCCCCTAACAAGTTCCAGTGGTCTACAGCTAACTTCAACCTCTCAGAATTAGAGCTTAGCTGCTTGCATTCCTCTAAAATTACAAAATGCATACTTACAAAAGGCATTTAACAACAGAAAGAAACAAAATACTCTTTGGGTTTAAATGACGACTGCACAGGTTTTGTCTTAGCACTTTTGGTGGGATAAAGATGATACATATTGTGCAGGCCATAAAAACATACAGTTTATAGATCAGAACCTGAGTTCAGCATATGTGAGCAAAAAAGATTATATGCTGTAGTTCTACGCTTTGAAGGGCACAGTCTTAACTCCTCATCTTGATGAGAGCTGGCTTTTCTTTTCTGGACTGCTTTTTATTCCCAATCCATTTCTAGAAGAAATAACAATAAAAAGCTTTCAAAGCTAGTAAATAACCTTGGTTAACCAACTACACCAACTACACCACTACATGGTGTATGAACAAATAGAGTACTAACATGAAGCCTTCAAGTTATTTGAAGAATAAGATATGCTAACTTAGTCTAAACAACAAAAATTATTATGTTAAAAATATAAATGCTTCTTTGCAAACTAGACAATCAAACAATTTCATTAGAAAATTCTGCAATAAGCATGAGCTTATTTCACCAGTAACAGAATTCATTAAGTATGTAACTACGAACCACCATCTATATGAAACTTCTTTCTCAAATTATTCGTAAATTAGGAGAGCCAAAAAAGTAAAAATGTGACTTATTCCTGCACAAGATAAATTTTTTAGGGACTATTAACCTAATTAATAAGAAAATTTGTTAAGGTATATTAATTTATATTTTGCCTTGATCACCTTCAATGGTATGCACCCAATGCAATTAAACCTTTAAAGCAATTATATACATAATAATGGGGCGACTAGCAGAGAGTAGAAATTAGAAAAACATCTCTAGCATTTACAATTTAAGGTAGATTCAACATTATTGAGTCTCCATAAACTGCAAAGATTCTGTCATTCGCAAACTTTCAAAAACATGCAATGAATACAGCATAGTCTGCTCAGTCATTTATTCATGCAACGCAAAATTTCACTTGCTGTGAAAACTATGTATTTCTAAAAAACAATTAATTAATGGTAATATTCTCAAATTTACCTACATTTCAGGATTATTATTTGCAAAATGATAAGGTCCCTGTTTGTTATAGCATGAATCCCAGGCAAGTCTTTCATGGAAAATGGAAACACCAGTGGGCATTAAAAATTTGTTATAGAGAAAATGCGCATTTTAATCATTTAATTTTTGGAAAACCATTGTTAAGTGAAAATCAAGGGAAAACCATAGATTTCTGATTATAAGATTTGTGAGAATGTTACAGAATGCCTGTCCTTAAGTTCCAACAAACTCAGAATACTACGAAAAATTTGTGATCAACAGTCTTGAAGGCATACTCAAAAATAGAAAAATTACCAAGTTTTCCCACCCCTTTTTAAGATGTATTACCTGTGGCACCTCTATACTATGATATGAATATTATGAAATGAGTATATGTACGTAAATACTATGATCTTATTACTTTTATAAAGGAGAAATTGCATTATTGAAGAAAACTACAGATTGATTTAATGCAAAAAGATATAGTAACCAGTGGTACATACATATTACATCTGACAACAGAGAAAGATAAAAAGCTTGAGAGGGTTGAATACAAATAAAAACAAGATTGTTTTTTATTGTACATAGTAAAAACAAGTGTGAGTATAAAAATATAATAATTTTATGTTTAATAGACCAAGTTAAAATTTTAACAGTGGAGTAAATTTCACAAATATCGTCAGCAAACGTTGCAATTTTCAATTGTCAAGCAATACTAAAAATAAACACACTGGTATTGTGGTACAGTGAGAAAATAAACCATGCTCTCCCCAATAAAGGAAAATCCTAAGTATATCTGTTTATATATCTCTGACATCTTGTAAACTGTCTAATATATAAGTTAAGGGTATAATTAGAAGATATAAAATGCACACTATATTTAATGTCAGTTACAGCAACAATAACTACACCCATCAAATCAAAAAGTACTGGCGAAGATCACTCGTTGCTAATGAAAAAGAAAGCGCGGGTAAAAAATATAAACTCGTGCATTTTGTTTACCTTGACTCTTTCAAACGTCATATTAGCTTGGTTCGCAGCTTCTTGGATGACATCCCTCATACTAGCTGCTGTTGAAATCATTCCTTGATCATAATAATCCTTCAAGATCTTTTTTTTGTTCGTCATTTAAAATATCATAAGATGCTGAACGTCGAACGTTTTCCGCCATAGCCAGATCACAGAACAGGAATATAAAGATGACTAAATAAAGTATTTCATAAATTCGTGAATCCCATACATCAGAATGCGCGGAATACATTTTATTGACGCTTCGTAACGCATGTGGATTATGTAGGTGTGATAGCTAATGTAGGATTTTTAAAGACTTTTTACGGCTTTTCATATCTGTGGTCGGGCTAGGTTGGGACTACACTAGGAATTTAAAAAGGTACTCACTTCCGTTTATTGAGTATGTGCAAAAATAACAAAAAATAGTATAATGGTTCTGACCTATAATTAACATTTTCTGTGTCACTAAAAGACTCATTGCATTCAATTCGAATAAAAAATTCAGTAAGTATACCCACCCAATATAGACAAATTTTAATTATATGTCTGAGTCATTAATGTAGCCCTAATATCCTGACTACTAGTATTTTATAGACTATTTGTTACATATATTACCGAAAAGCAAATTCAATACCTTGCCTCTGATTATATACTTGAATTCAGCTGTTCTCCTTTTAGTAAAAAAGATTGCGTAGTTCTTGAATCTTTTGCCTGAATGCTGTCTTAGAACGAGGTATTCAAACTCTTGCATTTCCGAAATATGATCTGTTTGTTTCTGAATGCCATCAAAAATAAGCTTTGGGCAATTTAGACATGCTGGTGTTTCTTTAACATCGGCCATGTACAAAAAAAAAAATACCCTAAAATTAAAAAAAGAATGCTATCAAGTAAAAAGATTTTAAATTTTAAATGACATTAATCTGTATGGTTTTTTTCTGAGATACCTTCTAGAAAAGTCAACAAATGTACGTATTTTTCGTTAAATTAATAAGTGCAAGCGAACTTCAAAAGCCTTTAATTCAAGTACTCCTGCAGATTAAAGTAATTTTTATATAGATATTGTAAAATAAAAGGAGAATGCCAAAAACGTTACACGGCCTTTTTCTACAATATATTCAGCAGGATCTTTTGGCCGTGAGGGAATTAGCTCAGGTTGAACGCTTTCAATATCATATTATTGATAACATGAAATAATAACTCTTTCTCAATGCAATGATGAATCTATCCTATTACGATGTCTGCTCTCTGGAAAGCGTTCTGCTTATCAATGTTGTCTCTACTCGTGCTCTAATTATTTTATGATTATGCTAATTAGTGAAATTAGTTTTAGATTACTAGAGATTGAATTGCAACTTTTCTTTAGTTGGTGAGACCATGGTCTTAGTTTGTACAATTTCTAGCTTATCATCTCGGATTCATTAATGTCACATGAACCAGAGAGAAAGGAAAACTATGTCATATAAGGGGGGATTAAGAAATTTATATCAAAACAGAATATAACAAAAACATTTTGTTTATTTTCTTCTTCTTTTTTATTAATGGCATACACAATCATTAAGTAAGCTAAAATTAGTACCGTAGTAAGGCTTAGTTGAAGAGTGTAAATGCTTTTTCGAACGCATAATCTCAACGTAAAGTTACATTCTTATGTGTAAGATTATTTAAGGTCAAAGATATAGTTACAAAGTTCCAAACATATCTACGGTATTAACTTGCTAGTCCATAAAAACCTTTGACCTCACATCGGCATTTGGATGGGGAAAAATCTTTGACGGCTGCAATTTTGTTCGGATCTGGTCGAATACAATTGCGAGGGACAACATGACCCAATATAAAACTCTAGAACGGGAAAATGAAAACTTAATGGGCTTTAGTTTTCTATCTAAAGAATGTGAGATGCAAAAAGGAAGTGAAGAAGAGAATTGCTGTTGCAAAATTGAAATTTCAAGACTTGCGATCCATCTTTGTCAACCGAAACTTATCAATGCCACTCAAAATACGATTACTCAAATGCTACATTTGGTCAATCTTGACTTACGGCTGTGAAGCCTGGACTCTAACTGCTGACCTGGAGAAAAACTTAGAAGCAGCAGAAATGTGGTTTTTGAGAAGGATGTTGAAAGTGTCATTTATTGATCACGTCTCAAATGAAGAGGTTATGAGAAGAGCCGGTGTGAAGAGAGAACTACTCTCCGTAATAATCGAGAGACAACTTCGTTTTCTTGGCCACGTAGTTCGGAAGGAAGGCCTGGAATGTGTTGCGCTGCAAGGAAAAATCGAAGGGAAAAGAGCACGAGGCCGTCAACGCATAACGTATTTGGACAGAGTTAAGAAAGTTACCGGAATCGCCAACACTGCAGAAATCTTTGCCTGTGCTCGTAACCGTCAACGTTGGAGAGACATGGTAGCCCAAGCATGCATCATGCATGGCACCTGAACAGAACAGAACAGAATCTAAAGAATGGAACTCACCAAAAATATCGTTGATATGGATAAGATGATCATCAAATGAGCGCGAGTAGATAATAATATCCATCAAATAAACCAAATAAATTTGGTATTAGAGACATTGCACGACAGTATGCATTAAGCATTGAAATGTGGATGATGGGTTTACTAACCCAAAAAGCAATCGAAAAAATTCATATAGACCACTATGTGTTGCAAAAGCAGTGTTTGATTTTGAGCTGTCGTCGACTTCGAGCTGCCAAATAGCCTGACCACAGATGAAAGCAAGAAAAATACGAAGCTGCATGCAGA